CTATGCATTGTCCTACTCAAGCATTCTTAGTTGTTGTTTGAGAGTGCTATGAGAGTATACCTTGGCTATGCCAAATTACATAGCTTGTATGTAATTTGGAACTAAAGAAGTGCTTGCCAAGCTCTTAATAATTGAGATGATTCATAGAACAACTATATTATAGAACAAAATATCTTTTAGATCATATTAGAATCAAAATCCCAACATAAAAGAAGACAATGAATAGTCACATATATTAACTTGTACAAAAAAAACATAAAATTTTCTTTTCAAGAAAAATCTAACTTTGCATTGTCATTGTGGCTAGGACCTTTAAATTCCACTCAATCTAGTACATCTCTAGATGTGCATTGCTACCTCACATCAACTTAGCCCAAGTGATCTAGAACTACAACCTTCTTATTAGATTCCACTCTACCTTAAATGTGTGTCAATTTACTCTCATGAGATTTTGTTGGAAGAACTATACAAACAAATGCACACATAATGTTCTGCATACATGATATTCCAATACACCTACATGCACACACAATATCGTGTAGTGTGAACAAAACATTATTCCAATATCTCGCAACATAAGCAGAATATCCTCATGCATGTCAAGGCCTTGTGAATCAGCAAGTGAAATTAAGTTTTGATAGAAACAATGAAACAAAACTTTTGATAAAAACAATGATGATTGAATGATGCATGTAGCCAATTAGAGATGATTTTTGTCTCCTCTTGTTTATCCAGTTGGTTTGTCCACAATGAGCTGTTTTATATAATAGATATACTTCACACACATCATACTCACTTCATGTAGCATTTAACTTATCCTCACATTTCATTGCATTTTTTATTCATTTTTTTGGTCCACTCCCCTCAAACCTGCTCCGTGCGTGATGAGACCGTCGGGTGACGAGACAGTTGCGTAGAGCTGATGGATGCTTTTCGATCATTTTGTTGAGCTTCACAACAACTCAACCGTCATATTCGTCTTGGTGGAGGTTAGAAGCATTTTCTCTGCATGGTATTAGAATGCGTGTGCATTCGAACATGAAGATCAGAATACTGTGGCTCTCCGTTTGTCAATTGATGAAGATGTGTTGCCGCCTGTCAGCCTGTGATGCGATAACCTCGAATTTGTACGATTGGCGGGATCCGTGTGGAATAGAAGTTTGGATCTCCTTGCACAGATTCGCTTGGATGTTTTCACACGGCTCTTGCTGAACTTTGTTGAGCTTGCATTGTCTGCTTAACAGCTGTCTTTCTTGTTTTCAGGTCTCGCCTGAATTAAATTGTTCGAAATCTGGTTACATTACAGAGCTAGGGACCTTGTCTGAAGTGATATAGTGTATTCAATAGTGCGTTAGGTTTTTTGGTTTAATGATAAAAGATCGGTAACGATGAATCGTTTTAAAGTCCCACTTGGTCTTCATACAATTAGCACTTGCTCTGTTTGGACTTTTCGCCTTGAAGCAACCTGCAATGGAGGATAGGCCGCTCAGACTTTGATTGGTTAGGAAGATTTCGTAATTCAAACGTGCAGGCTGATACCACCAGGGTTCAGCCTGGACATGTTTCGCAATATCATCCTGACAAGCATCATTGCTCTTAATTCGCAAGCACACATGGTGTCAAATACCATGCAAGCTACGTGTGTATATGCTTCTCTCTGCAGAATGTTTCTGACTGCTCGTAGTCTAAGTATTGCTTGCCTTTTAATACGGACATGATCTAGTCACATCTCTGTTTTGCATGCAAAACAATATTGTTGAAATTTAATCCTTAATTCGTGGACTTGATTTACTTGGAGAGCGTGGATCTATTTGGAGGGCGTAGATCGGGCGAGGTCTCGCAAGTTGAGCAAATTTGTCAACATGGTTGCCCTGCACCATAGATCAACTCTTTCAGTATTATGATCCATGTTTTGTAATCTTATCAGTTAGTCCTGAGGCACTGGGCATTCAATCCACCGATCCACTTCTCACTTAAAATTTATTTTGAATTCACATCGCTGTTGTGTTCTGCTGGAACTAGGAAGGAGATTGGATAAGATTTGAAGCTCTTAATCTTTCTGTCTTACTGTGGCTGCTGGCGACTTACGATTGAAAATTGTTCAGGCAACTTTGGTTGTTTGTTTGTTAACAGGATATTCCTCCACAGTGATGAAATAGCTTCGTGCGAAGTTCTCATTCACGCGTATTTTGATTGCGATGTTTCATCGTGAATATTTCACAGTAATTATAATCTTTATTATTATACTTGTAGGTTGCAAGGCTGATTATCCCAAGCAAGCTGATGAGATGGCACAAGGGCTTCTCAAAGGTGCATTAATTTGAACCATAGCCCTATGAAGTGTGTGGATATATATATATATATATATATATATATATACATATATACATACATATATGCATGGTTGAATAAAGAGGTTTATTTTACAATGTAATAAAAAAAATAAAAATAAAATAAAAAATCTTTTTTTCAAACAACATTCTTGAATCTGTTTTTTCACTAGGATTTTAAGATTTATCATGCTAACAATATTATATATTTTTTTATCACTATTTGTATAATTTATATGGAGATTAATATAATGTATATATATTACATATATAATACATATATATTTTATCACTATAAGTTAATTTAATGTATCATTGAGATTTGCAACAAAATAGCTATGGATTGATGTTAAGGTTTAAAGATATAGATATTTTGTAATAATTAGCTTAGAGTTTTATGAATGGCCATTGATAATTCAGTTCTTTGCATTAATCTACTACATGTTCTGACAATTATAATACACATACTTTTAAACTAAATTTTATATCTAAGAAGAGTAATCTCAATATTATATGATATAAGAGGATAAAAGTATTTTTTGTTTGCATGTCTTATATATGTATTTAGATTTTTTAAAATTTATATTTTTTTATTTATAATGTATTGCCTAGCATATTATTGTTTGAAAAAAAACATGTATAAAGTTTTATAGTTGTTTTAATAACAATTCTAAAATTTTAAAAATATTTTAGTCATTTAAATATTTATTTTTACTATTTTTTATGAAAAAATTCTCCATTATAAATATCACTTAGTTTTTATTGTTAACTTTTAAAAGTGTTGTTAATAATTTATATTATTATAGATATAAAAACATGATTTACATTGTGTTGCCAATTGTTTTTAGAAGGCCTTACTTTTTTTGGTTATTTCTCTCTTCTTTTTATAATTATTATTATTTTAAATAGCTTACATTGAATAAAAATCTAAAATAATATTTCTCCTATATATTTTTGTTCCGAATCAATATATATATATATATATATATATATATATATAATTTAATTACTTCACAATCTATTCAATAAACTGATTTAAAATGCTTATTAAATATATTTGTGTTTATAATTATATGGCTCTCTAAAAGAATATGTAATTTTTTTTCTAATTACTATTTCTAACATTAAATTGGTTTGTTCCTGTATGAATTGTAATTTCTCCTTCTTAGAAATATTATTTTATAAAATTTTGTATTAATTTTTTATTTTTATTTTATTTCTGTGATATTTTCGTATAATTAACTTTTTTGCTCCACAACAATATTTTTTTTTTCTATTTAAAAGCATATATTTTAAATAGATAATTTTATTTTTAAAAATTCTATATTTTTATCTGTAGAAGAAATTACAATATTGTCTTTTTATACATGTTAAATTCTTGCTAGTATATTTCGAGTATTTTTTGTTTTATGAAGATTTTTATTAAAAGTGAAAGTAAATAATTAACATTTATTTAATGAAGATCTAATAAAATAATAATTTTAATATTATTGACATGAAAATGACTTTATAGATATTAATGGAAAGAAATAAAAATAAGAGTGCTATTTTAGTACATGAATAAGTTTGTTAATTTCTTTTAGTATATATATATATATATATATATATAGATATAGATATATAGATATATATAAGTATATAATTTTAACATTATATATTTAGAATACAAATTTTATTTTATTTTAAAGTATAATTGCATTATTTGATATATAATATATGAATTTTATTAAATTATAATATTTAATACTATAATAGTTTTTATTTTCAAATTATGACTAAATCATAAATATGTCCTTTATTGTATAAGTAGCTATAGATATATAAATAATACTCTTGTAATAAAAATAATAAGGATTGAATATTAAAAATTTTAAAAATTTTAAAAATTGAAATTCTAATTCTAATAATGATTAAATTATTGTAGATAACATTTATATTTTATTAGTAGTTGTTAAGTACAAGCATTTACATCACAAAAGAAATTACCTGAATGTATTTACGTCATAACAGTAATTAGAAAATTTACATCGAAGCTTTTGTTTTAACTCTATATAGCACACCCAATTAGTGACAATTCAGAATCATCCTTCTTAATCCAATAAAAAGCATTCACATGATGAAAAATTTAACGAGAATGGAAGTGAATGCACTCACATTCTAATAGAGAATGTATGAGAGAACCCAGTTATAAAAATTTCTAACTTGCCCAGTACAGTGGAAAAAATTTGCTCCTGAAGAGACATAGTGAGAACACCACACAAGAAATGATGGCTGTGGTTTTCACTGGTGTTGGCTTTTTGACGACAAACACTTACATATCCCCTTATTTACACACACACACACACACACATATATATATATATATATATAGTTCTAGTGGATTTTTTTTTTTTTTTTTTTTTTTTTTTGTTGTCAGATGGGACAAAGCCAAGGGAGAAAGGGGAAGGGGAACAAATGAAGCTCTTGTTCCCAAATGAGTCAAGCCCTAATTGGCTTGTGCCAGAGAAACTCACCCCTGTAGCAGCAGTACTTTGCACATCTTTGGTGCCTGTCTCAATACATCCATCCATCCCACCCATGGCTAGTGGAATTTTCATCCCTTACGGATGAATGAACCCCATGGATGAATACATACAGACTCACACACACTGGAACTAAACCATGGGTTAAGTGCAGGCAGGCTCCATGATCCCCCATAAGCGTGTGTGTGGGTGCCCCTCTCCGGACACACGCCGAATTTGTATTTTTGCTGGCGTCCCATCCACCCCCCAAGAAAAAAATTGTTTTTTTTTTTTTTTGTTTTTTGTTTGGTATTTCAAACCAGCGGCGCTTCGTGGTGATATTCAAATACCCCCATTGCACAAAGATCAATTCTCGGTTGTCACTCCCGTAGCTCCCTTCGTCTTCCTTGTGGTCTTCGTCTCCACTGCAGGTTTGCTTGATTCCTTCGCCTACTTCCTTCGGGACATGCACGCTTTTGTTGCCTATAGCCGTAGCTTTTTGAAGCGTAGTTTTCATTGAGGTACTTCGTGAGGTCTTTGGGTGCCGTCCTTCTTCCTCACGTTGAAGTTGGTTATGTCGTGACGTTTTTGTTTAGTTTTGTTTAGTTTTGATTAGTTTTGTTTGGCGAGGGTTTTTCTGTATCACGGTTGTGTGAAGTGATGTTATGTGGAGAGCTCTTAATTGTGTTGAGTTTGTACTAGCGAAGTGATTTATCGAGCTGCTATCGGTTTCAAAGTGCTGCAATGTCTATGCCATTCTCTGAAAAGCTTTTTCCCCCTGGTGTAGTCTGGGTACTGTGAACGTCCGTTTGTTGCATCTGAGCTGAGGTTCATGGCATTTGCGGTGGTAGCCATGTTACGTTCTCGAGTTACCATCGTGTGGCGTCTCGTTAGAAGTTATGTTCCGTTTGTTCAGTTTATCAGCAAGATTTTTCGTTTACTGTTGTTTTTGTGGCCTTCATTTCTAGTGTTATTCTTATTGTGACACACACGATCATCGGAGGAGAAACTGGGAGTTGGGTTCTCCTCTGTGCTGATTGTGAGTCTCTGGTTGCAGTTCTAGTTTTGTTTCAGGTAGCCATGTCGAGGCCGGGGATGGTTATCCCAGTGACGGTGTTGGTGATGATGATGGTGGTGGGTGTGACTCCGGCAACGACTCCCGCAGCCGACTGCAATGCAGCTACGGCGAGTTTGTCGCCGTGCTTCGAGTACGTGACAGGAACAGGTGCGACGCCACCCAAGGAGTGTTGCTCTGGATTGAGTACCTTGAACGCCAACAGCCCCAGTTGTCTGTGTCAATTGATCACGCAGCTCAACGGCAGTAGTAGTGCAGCGTCCTCTGTAAACATTACCAAAGGTTTGAGCCTTCCGAAGGATTGCTCGATCACCTTAGTGACCACAAATTGTCCCGGTAAGAATGTCTTTCGATCATCAACGAGTTGATTTCGTAGTTTCTTGCCCGCATCAGTAATGAGACAGTGCCCCGGTGTAATGCAAAGACTATTCCAAATTTTGATGCTATGAACGGTTCTGTTCCGTAGTGTCTACCGAAGCTGCTGACTTAACTTTTGTCAGTATTATAAACCTAACTATGTATGTATGGCCGGCATGAGTTCCATGTTGTCTGATGTAGCTCATTTTTGCACATCGTCATTTGTTTGTGAATTTGTCGCTCATCAGTTAAGAGATGACATTGTCATTTCATTACCAATAGATGAAAAGTTATTGGCCAGGTTTCTCTCCAGAGGATGTGTTGCTTCGGGTAGTCTGACTTAAACTACTGCGAGTTACTTGCCTGTGCCCTTCCTAAACTTATTAGCAAATTGTGCAGCTCTGGCGAATTTGCCTCTTTCGCCACCGGCCGGCACAACTACGACACCAATGACTGGTTCTTCAGGTAGTCACAATCATCATTCTCAAGTACACTGGTAGTCCTTTATTATGGAGATTTTTTAGGTCAGTTCTGGGATGGAAGTGAAGAAAAGTCATACATTCGAAGTCGTGCGACATGTGCAACGTGTTCGAAACCGTTTAATTCACTCACAGTTGCAACGTCAAATCAATAACATCCTCGTGGCCTATCTTTTAATGTCACAGGTCCTGCTGCAGCCCCCGGACCTTCAAGTGATGTCTCAAGGCTTTTGCCGAGCAGCTGGATAATGGCCTTGGCCATTGCAGGAGTGCATGCGTTGTTCTGAGAAGTGTACGTGACAAGATTATGTTAGCTAGTTATTGAAATTTTTGTTGTTTTTAGCAAAAAAATTGGAACGCTTTGATATAATGTATGCGTTGCACAGACAACAAGCAACTTTTTCTTTCTCTGCAGTGTAGTTTCGCAAGTGTCCAAAACCATGAACCCGCCACAGTGTCGGGAACAACCCTCTTGCATTCGCTTCATCCCATAATATCCTCACTGATAGATCTTTTATAACAACTCACTTCCTCGTAGCCGCAATAATGCCCTACCATTAAGGTTGCCGCAGCTAGCTAGTAACAGACTACAGCATATCTTCCACTTGTCCAGCTGCTCAATCGTCCAATGCCATGCAACTCTACCACCATTAATGTTGGCCTACCGTTGCTATGAGACACCTACACACAGTTGTGTGCAATTATATCCTTGCCAGAATGCATGATGCGGCTACTCCTACTCATAGACTGCAACCACTGTTACATGATCTCCTCCCGTGATAAAGCTGTATGTGGCAGGTTAACACGCTGGTGCCATATTTCGCTAGTGACACAGCACAGAATGTATTAAATTCAACCAACCTGTTAGATGGACAGACAGGCATCCCCGTACATGTCCATGGCATTGATAACCCCATTGATGGGTGACGGTGGAACTTCTCTGGCAGCATTCACAACCACCGCAGGTGCGCTCTTTAGCACCCCCCCCCCTCCAGCCTCTACTGCCAGGCTGATCCCCGAACCCACCTCGATAGTCTAGACTTGATGCAATCTGGGCAACTTCATTTAATGAAGATGAACTGAAACAAGAGCTGTAGCAGGAGCTAAGTGGTATTATCACTGTGTTGGAGATCTGTAGGGAAATGAGCATGACGTGTGAGACATCGGAAGTTTACAGTTTTTTTATGAAAGAGTAGCAGTAGTTTATTATACATATTTTTCAGAGATAGACAAGTTTACCTCCACCAAGTAGAGGCAGTCATTAAATCTTCTTAACTTATGATGTGCATGGACACTCATGCTGAAATGGGAAGACTGTTTTCACCTAGTAAAAAAAGGTAAAAAAAAAAAAAAAAAAAAAAAAAAAACTTGACTATTTACTCTACAGCTAAAACTAAATGTCATCTAACAAAAAGAGAAGTCAACAATGCTTATTATACAAGAGGAGATAGCAGAAGGTAACTATATTTGAATAGGTGTTCTTTATGTTGTACATATTACTATTATAGAGAAGAAAATTTGATGGTACTTACAAGAAATAAATTTTGTTGCCATATTGTAAAAAATAGTTCAGTAAATTAATAGTATTTAGTATTATTCCATAAATGAATGAATAAATGAATTTATCCAAAGATGGGCAATAATTTTATGAATTTTCTACTATCACAAAGTATTCAAAGTCAAAAGTACTCTAAGGTATAAATATCCAAACATATTAAGATTTATTTTTTAAAATTAAAACTTGGTAATAAATTTTGAATAATATTTTTTTATGGTAGAGTAGAAAATGTATGAAGCAACATAATTGAATTTTCTATTTTTATGCAATAAATTACAAAGAAAACCTTGCAAACATCACACATAAGTTTCTAAACAACTATTAAAATTTTAAAATTTTATTAAATATTTTAGAATAAAATTATTAAATAATATGTTATATTTTGAAATATTTTGGTCATTTTTTGACAACTAAAATATAATAATGTAGTACAAATAATTGTTGTTGAAATCATATGTGTTGCTTAAAAAGTTATAAAATAAATAAATTATCTGTTTTATTGCAAAAAACACAAAAGAATAAAACAACAATCTTTCTAGCCTACAAAAAGATGTAACTTCTAAATTCTTAAAATTTTAATTAATTAAACGGATAAAATATATTTTTTACAAAAATAATTTTTTTATAATAGATTAGTATTTTTATTGCTATGTGCTAGATTGTGCAAAAAAAAAAGATCAAAAGTACTATAATATTAGTTAATTTTGCAAGGATTGTAAAAAATATCTTAAAATTATTTTATTGAAATATTAATTTTAAGTAAGTTGAATAATACCAAAATTTTAATTATAAAAATTAATTTAATAAAAAAATATATTATATTTTATACTTTTACTTTATCTAGTATTAATATTAATACCTAATATGATACACACATATATTAAAAAGTAAACTTTGCAATTCTTTTAAAAAATGTTATAATAATTTTAAAATGTAGATTCTAAGGAAGTAGATTTAAATTAAGAATCCTTTTTTTCCTATTTTTATTGCTAACTTTAAAATAAATCCTATTTTTAGATGTAAAATTAAACAAAAAATACTACTCCAACAATATTTACGATATGTGAAGTTGTTGGCTCCTTAAGATTGGGTTTAGATTGGTGGAAGCAACAAATACACTCAATGTTAATTTAACCATTAAAAGAGGCACATTCACCAAATGATATTCATATGGAAATCATTGAACACTAATATTTTACCATTATGCAGCATGCTCTGAATTAATATTGAAAGTGTCATTAATTTTTGTGAAAATAAAAAGGATTTATATTTTAGAAAATTTTGTGAGCTTTGAAGCAAATCTACTAGTAAAAATTTGTGGATTTGTAAATGAATAGCTGTAATAAATTTTTATTATAAATTGAGCTTTAGATGATTAGATTAAAGATTATTGAAATACAAATAGATTAGTATTTGAGAAATTAAATTTTAAAGACCAATATGGTATTATAAGATTTGCAATAATTTTCTAAGTTAATTGAGGTAAAATCTCGTAGAATAACAAAATATTTGATTTCTAATATTTTTCAAAATTATGGAAACAATTGAACAATGCAGAAAAGAGGTATTGACATTGGGAGCTTAGCATTAGAGTTGAAAAAAGAAGTTGGTGACATTTAAGCAAATTATGAGTTTTTTTTTTGAATTGGTAAGTTTGACTCTCTTTAAATATTTTGTGCTTATTGTCAACCAAAAGATTGAAAAGTGCATAATTTTAAAGTAAAAGATCAATAATTAATTTATTAATTATTATGGATTTAAAATTGTTACAAATTTTAGATATGACATTGTTAATCTAACTTAAGATTGGTTAAGATTTGATTAATATTGGACTAAGATTTATAAATATTATCAAAAAAATATTAGATTTTTTTAATGTAGTTATATAGGATTTTTAAGAATTTTATTAGAATTAATTATAATATAATTAAGATTGAATTAAATTTTTAAAGATTTTATTAAAGTTTTATTAAAATTTGATTAAGATTGGATTGGATTTGATTAATATCAATTGGAATTTGATTAGGGTTTTTTAGGATTTGATTAGAATATTTATGGATTTTATTATTATTAATTTAGAATATATTTTAAGTTTTATAAAAAATTATAATTAAATTAGAAATGTATTAGAATTTAATTAGGATTTGGCTAAAGCTTATCAAAGAATATTTATAATTTATTTGGAATTAATCAGAATATGATAATATATGTCTAGGATTTTATAAGGTTAATAAGATGTATTTAGAATAATTGAGAACTTACTTATATTGTTCAAGATTTCCAAAGGGTGTTTTTAAACTTCTTATGCATTGTTTTGGGTATTAAATTCAACTTTAAGCTAAGATCAAATTCTTCTACAACCAGATGTTCAATGCATTTCTAGAATGATTTTTACATAACAAGACATTGTACAATAAAAGAAGTTGCATTAACACCTAGTAAATGAATGGTTGGATTTTTTCTTAGAAAAATGCAACTATAATAGTAAAAGACGTGCTCAAGCTTGTGGCTTCCACAACATGTAATATGGGCATTCTAAACTTGTTGATTTTGTATGTACAATCTATTAATGTGTTGTACAAATATCTTTTTGAAAGTAATGTACATCGAAGTTGGATAAAAAATAAGGAATTTACCTTTTTTTTTCCAATGTATGTGTATGTGTATTGGAATGCAAAAACACAAAATTTCTTCATAAGAGCAGAAATGGATGAACAACCATCTAGATTAAATTTACAAAGATATTTGCATTCATCGTAGATGGTGCAAGCAATCACATGACTTGTACAATCTCTCTAGTCTAATGCATTCACTACATTCTTTGGCACTACCCATGTAGCAAGCATTTATATGGTAATCTCTTTTTGTGTAACTTGAAGTCTATAAGCTATGAGTTGGCTTGTCAAAGATGCAAAAGGTCCATGATTATATATCTTATTTTGAATTGTTAAATGTTAGTGTCCATTAGCTTGCAAATATCATACATACAATTAAAATTTTCAATTAGTCAACAGTGTTTCTTTGCTACATTAATAAATTAAGTTTTATATTTGGCCAATTGTAGGTGTGATCCTTGCCACATTTGAAGACTCTGCAATGCCAACCAAAACAATGTTTGTATAAAACATATCCCTAAGTGTGGAAAACTTTATCAATGTTTTGTTCCATATCTTCAAATATATCAAAAGATCCTTTTGGTAGAGGGTGCATATTGAGCATGTTTTTCATTTCAAAATGGAAGCATTCTAAAGTACATAATGCTCCCTCCCTCTTTTTTTGGAGGATAAACAAGTAAAATCAAGATAAAAACATTGCGCAGGGTTGTTATTGTTTATTGCAGTTGTTGATTGCAAAGTGTTATAATTGGTCACATTTCCACAATCATATAATGTATGTATTCTAATAACCATGATTATATCAATCCAACTTCTAATAAATAAAAGCTTAAGAATCTAGATGATGATGGGTGAATTGATATAGTAAATGCTTGGCTTTATTTAACAATGATATACTTTTAAATCAAATAGCATACCAAATATAAAATGATTACAAAAAATAAACAAAAAAGAATTACACTTACTGGAATTTTTTGAAAAAATAAACATCAAATTAATTATGGATAATTGTTATTTAATTCCAATATTTTTAAAGCTTCTGTGAGTATTGGACCAGAGGCAAGGGGTTACAATTATTTTTTTGATATTATATGTTATCTTATAATAACTCCATATGTCAAGTTTGCAATAACAAAAAGAAAAAAGAAATGATTATTAATTCAGTTCTTAAACAAATAGATTTGTGTAGCATATTATTTATACATTTATTTTAGTTTTTAATAATTATTCAAATGCAATACTTTTATTATATCTTTGGCATTTATAAACATCTTTAGAATTTACAAGTTATCATGAATTATTACTTTTTTTTTGTAATGTAATGATGTAATGTGTTGGTATTATTTTTTGTCGTAGCATTTTACAAAGTTTTAACATTTAATAGATTAAAAGTACATAAAAGGAACATCACAATTAAGAACTGTGATTATTAATTCAGTTCATAATAATTCTCATCCATGCTTTGTAATTAAGAAAAAAAATTATTTGGAAAGAATAAAAATATTACAAAAATTTACAAACCTTAATAAATAAATAAATAAATAAATAAATAAATAAATAAATAAATAAATAAATAAATAAATAAATAAATAATATATATACATATATAGTTATATATATATATATATATATTAAAAATAAAAATCATATGACTACCCTAAACCTCAAAGTGAACAAAATATATAATAAGACTTATATATATATATATATATAGCATAAAAATAATTTTATGTTATTAAACTTATAATATAATAAAATAAAATATTTTTTTAGATTAATTTAATTATATTTGCTATAATTACACATATTTAAGAAAATTTATTTGAAAACCTACATTCATTGCAAATATACAGAAAAGGAAAAATTATATAAAAATATACCATAATACTTAATTCTAATTTTTTAGTGATAATATAATCAAACTAAAAAAAACACACACACTCGCATAAGAAAATTTAAAATCTCCAACCTTAAAGAATATGACATGAAATAAAAATGGGTATTTTTTGCACAACACAAGTTAATAGATCAGTTATAAATTTTTAATTACCGAAAATCATGCAGTCGAATAAACCACAATGTTAAGACTAAGGTTTGAATCTATTAAATAAACATATATATATATATATATATATATACATACACACATAGTTGTTGTGGAAGAATCAAAAGCATAAATCATTAGAAACACAACACAAATTTGTAAATGTAAAACGGTCAATAAAAAAGATCATGTAAAAATCAAAGTATAAATTAATCCATATAAAATGTAACATAACTAGAATAAAAACAAAAATTTCATTACATACACATTGTATTTAAGGAGAAAAGGAAAGAGAAAGAGAAAGAAATCATTCACACCCAATAACCAAATTAATAAAGTAAGTACCAAATTTTGTTGCCAATAGAAGGTCATGAAAAAAGTTGAAAAATTATATACAGAATACTATTTTTTTTCCCCCTTTGTTATGCAGAACCAAACTGAAGGCTTTATAAATGTATTGCCATTGGCAATCTTGGCATGAGTGCGCGGCGAAAGGCCCCCTTACACGAAAATAAAACTGTCCACGGTATTGGACACGACATCGGTGATGGGGCCAAGTCGTACCCCATTGCTTACTCTTGAACTGTCCTCCATTTTATTTTCCTTTGGTTTTTCGTCCCGTGTTGAGCTACAGCGTTGCTGTGAAGGATTTGGCGATGGCGGCAAGCTCAGTCTCATCTGGCTCCGAGACAGAGCGGCAGCAGCAAGAGCTCGAGGACACTGTCTTACTTCTCTTCTCCGCGTTCGCCTCCGCATCCAGTCAGAACACCTCGCTCTTGTAACGTCCATTCTCCTTTTGTGGCTTTTTGAGTTTAAGAATTGTGGTTTAAGGTCAATCTAGGACTCGTTTATCATCAGACGATACGAATTGTTGTTTTTTATTCATTTAAATTTTTTCATCGGTCGTTAGGCTGGAGCTTTGGAGGGAAGAGCACGTGCAGTACCTTAAGAGAGCTTTCCGTGGTCTGGGGACTTCCTACAGCGTTCTTGATTCGAGGTATTCTCAGCACCTGTTGAATTGCGTTTGATCGTGGCCTCAGCATGCCAGGCTTAGTTACTTCTTGATTTTTTGTAATGTTGAAACTTGTTTAATTCTTTTAGATTTTTACGAGGATTGCTTTGATTCATGTCCACAGAGCAATTACGGAATGGTTGAGGTTTTTTTATATTGACCTAAATTTAAATTCAAGTCTTTTACAAGTTTCCAGATATTTTGTGGATCGGGCCTCGTTTGTTGGGATAACTGTTTATTGTATTTCTACCGCTCTGCGACTATCTTGCCGTTGCACTGTCGCGTGCTGTATGTGACATAATTATCCTCTGCAGCATCTTTGTCTCCGTCTCGCATGTGTTAATTACTAGGCTTTTTGGTAAGAGGTGCATTGTCTTGGAGGTTTCTGTAAGAGTGAGGATTTCCTCAATTTTCAAGCACTTGAACTTCAATTCTATATCGATTTAATATCCTTTGTTCATTTTACCTCAAAGGTGTATCGAAGTTTTGCTTGTGCAAGCATGGCTTCTCAAATGGGCGACTACGTTAACGACGTTGCATTTCTGAAATTATGACACGTTGAATTGGGATGGTGAATTGTGGATTTGTGCAGTCGGCCATGGCTGTGCTATTGGATTATGCACTCTCTTGCGATGCTCAACCAACCTTTGGGTCCAGGGATGGATAGGCGTACGATCGACTTTCTTTCAAGATGTCAGGTATGGTTTTTTTGTTGGCTTTAGGGCTTAAAGGGAAAAAGAATTCTCATATCCATATTTCACCAGCTGGACGTTAAAGGAATGTTAATGTTAGTGTTTAGTCTGGGTTTTTGATTTCCACGCTATGCATTGAAAAGTTTTTATTGATGTGCGTGTAGGATCCAAACGGGGGTTACGGTGGCGGACCGGGACAGGTATGGGTCATTGAAAAATATCAATCGTTGAGTGTTGGTAGTCCAAATTATGACCGTTCGTATCGAAAGATGGCTCGTTCAACTGACTAGATGATGGATCAAATTGTTTTTAAAGTCAATAGTAGCATGTCATTCAACTCCGTACAGGTGTTTCTGCTCTTTCTTTTTTCTTTTTTCTTCTTCTTTTCTTTCTTTCTTCCTTTTTTTTTTTTGTTTTTGTTTTTGTTTTTGTTTTTGTTTTTGTTTTTTTTTGTTTTTGTTTTTTCAATTGGATCACAACTATGTTTGTATGTCAAGTGAAAAAATCTACGTTTACAGATTGTTCTTTGTCGCTGCTTTACAGACATTTCAGTGTATTTATTTATTTATTTTTGAAACTGCAGATAGCTCATTTAGCAACTACGTATGCTGCTGTGAATACCCTCGTTACTATTGGTGGGGAGAAGGCACTGGCTTCTATTGACAGGTGCAAATTCTTGCCCCTAAAACGCCAGCATCAACATCAAACATAGATTATATCAAGTTTTATACTGCCTTAAACTATTTCATCAAAAGCATACTTAGTGGCAGCGTTGGCACTATCTACAGAATTCTGACAAATTATGATGATTTCTGTGTCAATTACTTCCATTCATTCTGTGCATTATTTATTACAAGTAATTTAGTATGTTCCAAATATCAAGGAATACCATCTTTAAGAGGCACATGCAGGTAGCAGGAATGAGGTGCTGCGTTTCCTGATTCGCATGAAACAACCCAATGGGGGTTTCTCGATGCATGATGGAGGAGAGGTAGATGTGCGTGGTTGCTACACTGCTATTTCTGTAAGTTTTCTCATATTCCATTGATTTCATTTGCCTTGTACTGTCTGAAGAGCACACTGGATAGTGTCAATGGATTTGAGTTTTACTTGAGAAAACTCAATATATCATTAAACTCAAATTATCAAAGTTGTGTTTAGATTCTGGTAGGAGCGTAAGGCATCAATAGAGGAGTTGTCGTTTCTCAATTCTTTCTTCATTTAGCTTTGTGCTGGTTTGAATCTTCGGAATTCATAGAAAAGCTGAACTTGGAGAATAGTTTCCCTCAGCGCATTGTTTCTTTTTGTTACTTTTTCAGGTGGCACATATGCTAGATATTATGGTGCCAGAAATTGTGGATAAGGTGGCAGATTATATCTTGAGGTCTGTTTCAAGTCTTTTTTGATGGTGTTTGCTAGTATGCTAGTCGTTCTTAAGTTTGGATTGTTGCAAATTTTATTAGCTCATCTGAAACTTCTTTTCCCTCGCTAAATTAGCTTCTGTGGTTGTAGTTGCCAAACGTACGAGGGAGGCATTGGTGGTGAACCTAACGCAGAAGCGCATGGCGGGTATGGGCACTTCCTTTTGAGTCATTAGTGAGGCCGCTCGCCCTATAGAAATTATTGGACTGACCACTCGTTCTCTCTCGTTCTTATAAGTGCAGACGCACGCTATTTTCATGACCAGGTATTTATAGTCCTTTTTAGACGATATTTTGCAGGTACACATTCTGTGGTCTATCAGCGCTTGCGCTGATAAATAAAGTTAACACGATTAAACTCCCTAATTTACTGGTAATTTAAACGCTGCATATGATTATTTCATACCTGTTTTGGTGGAGATTTTTCTATATTTCTTTTTGGGGATAAAATCAACTAATGCTTTAAGTATCTGAAAGTAACAAAATCGCACTTTGATCCTTACGTTAACAAGGCTGCATAACCTTTTCGCATTTTCCATAGTTTGTTTGCTTTTATCTTTACATCTGAGTTGTCCTATCTTTTTTAAAGCTTTCTAATACTGGGTTGGCAAATAGAACTGGATAGTGTTCTGTCAAGGAAAAGTCGAAGGAGGTTTCCGAGGTCGCACGAATAAGCTAGTGGATGGGTGCTATTCGTTCTGGCAGGTATTTTCTGGACTTTTTACTTGCTTCGTTTGGGAGCCTTTCGTGTATCTTATGGGTTCACCTGCGGGAAACTTCAAATGCTTAAATGTATCTCTGCTTGTGGTTTTCAAAATATGTAGTTGTACTGAACTATATTTCCGTAGTGTCTCTTCAGTCTTGATGGTTCTCGTTGGTCTGATCAACATGACTTTTTAACTTTTCTATTCATAGGATTTCTGATGATTTCATGACTTTTTTTGCAGGGGGGTGTGTTCTCAATATTACAACACATAATGCCTGAGCTTAACCGGCAGCAGTTGGCCTCCATTACTCCTCTTTGTACAACACATTCCCAGTTTGTTGAGGACTCAATTGATTAGCGTTAATTCTTCCTGACTTCGTACCTTTAGATAGTAGTTTCAAACAAGCTTTCTATACTGTATGTTTGATAAGTCCCGTATGGTTCATTCATTACGTGTAGGGGCATTTACATAGTCTTCTTTTCTGGGTTTGTAATACCTCATATGCGTAATATGTCCGAGGGAGTCACAGTTTCTGTGGGTCAAATACTGGTAGTTATTGTAGAAAGTTCCTGGCCTCTACATCCTTTGATGTTTATTCATCTGGTTAATTTGTAGTGTTTCTGGTGAATTATCGCTATCAGTTAACTCTTTGATTTGTTAAGTATGTCAAACTACAGTGGAGTATCAGCTTATTCTATGAAGTTTTATTCTTCAGATGAAGCTTGGAACCAAGATGTTGCATCTAGTTCTGCAAGTTCCTCGAAGGTAACTCTGGAGGGCAGCTCTGAGGTGTCACCTACAAGCCGTGAAAGCGTAGAGGAGAGAACAGCTGCAGGTATTCCAGCAGATGCAGAACCTAGAGCCACCGATGGGACGACCACTGACCACCAACCAACTGGAACATCACCAATGTACACACATCGGGAGGATAATAGAAGAGGTACGCTCTACATCTAGTGTTAGTTGGCCCTCGGTTGAATGGTGCATGTTACGGGTTTATTTATAATAAGGACGTAGACACTTGGTTTAGCTGGAGACTGGGTCATTAAAGTTGGTAATTAATTCTCATAATTGCTAATTGATCTGTAGGTGTTTTGAAATTTTAGATGGTGGCCTACAACTTGTGAAGATGTGGATATCTTGAGTTTGCGTCTTTGGGTTTAAATTAGACTATAGTGATTCAATGTTTTTTGTACCTCTTATTCTTGTTGAGCTGGTTCGCGTTTTTTTTTCGCAGGATCTATAAGTGAGCTTGTCACCGCTGAGCAGCTCTTCCCCGTGGTTGATCGTAATATCAAAAGGGCACCGATTTCTGTGACTTTTGAGGAACTAGAAGATCAAGTCTCGGAGACTTCAAAGGAAGCTAAGGATGGTGCCGGGAACACAAATCAGGCACAGCTGTCTACTGTGGACCAAATATTGAATGAAAACGAACAAATGCTCTACGGGCCTCTCTACAATGCGCATGCACTTCAAGGCTACATACTGCTCTGCTGTCAGGTACAGTGCACTGCCATTAGTGGTATCCTCAGGCATTTGTTAATCTGCCAAATTCTACGTGCTTTCGTAGAAATTGTTTGGACGTTTAATGTTGAGTGTGAGGTGAAGGCCTATGAAGCGGCTCTTGCTTCACTTCGTTTTCTGATGTGTAGAATGTTCCTTTTTGCAGGTACTGGACGGGGGTCTACGAGATAAACCAGGAAAATCCCCGGATTATTATCACACTTGCTACTGCCTCAGTGGGCTCTCACAAGCGCAGAGTAGCGCATCCCACCGCGTCAATGCCCCTCCACCACCAAAAGCTGTGCTTGGTCCTTACACCAACCTTCTTGAGCCTGTGCATCCCCTTTGCAACGTAGTTCTGAGCAAGTACACTGATGCAATCCGTTACTTTAGGCATCATCCTTTCCGTCGGGTTCCTTGAAACCCAAAGACTTGTGATGTACCTTGAAGTCACTATTATATACAGCCGGGGTTATTGTATATTCTAAATCGCTGACCGATTCTTCAGTGTACATACACTCAGGAGTTCAACGTGATTGAATGCAGATTTGCCTCCACTATTTTTTTACTTCTCTGTGTTGAATATTTTGCTCACCTCGCGACACGATCCATGTTACCGGATTACAGGCGCTTTCTCTGGAATGCTACCAACTTGACTCCACATTACGAAAGAATCCATCTCGCATTTCCCTTCATCTTACTGTTCATATCAGTGGGCAAAACTGTGTTGAAAGGTCACTTTGAGCTGCCCATTTGTCAAGGAATTCAGACACCCGTACAATGCTACTTGTAAACCCTACCTCTTTCACATGGTTTAATTCTGGCTGACCTTGTTCTGACTCGTTTTTGTGTGAAGTTGACTAGGATTCTCGTCATATCGTAGCTTTTGCACTCACACTTAAAATCTGTGGGGCCCTGCAAAATCGCTCCGCGCCTTTGAAGCCTCGTAATCTACACTAAATTCTGTCTGTGGGCTTCCGGATAAGGACAAACAAAGCCCATTCTCAATACTTTCCAAATTTGTTTGCCATACGATGAATCTGTCTCAACCACTCGTGAAAGTTTCGACGGTGCGGATAATCGGATTCGGCGAGCAGACGCTGCGCGCATCGTGTGAATGAAGCTTTGGGGATGGAGTTTTCTCTTCCTATATCTCTCTCTCTCGCTCTTTATTTGAACACTTTTGACATAACTCATTCGGTGTAGAGAAAGACCAGCCAAATAGGAGGCTGCCTTGCGTTAAGTGCGAATGGGCATATTGAATTGTAAAGCCACTCGGACTGCGTTGATCTCTGGATGCTTGTGATGAGTAGGAATTGGATGAATACATGAATTTCTTGCCATTACTTTTGCGTACAGATTGGAGAATTTAGGAGTTTCTTTTGATCAGGGAGATGGCCGCCGGGTGAAGAGGGTTTTTGGACGCTGATGCTGATGTAGTGGTGGCAGTTGCGGAGAAATGAAGCGATTTCAACGACGGGATTGAATTTTGTGTTTCGTAGTTCAATTCCGCCATTCTTGCACCAGTTTTTCTTTGTTAATGTGTTGAAGACAGGGCGATTGCCAGCCCCCAAACATTAGAGCACTACGGTTCGTGGGGTTTTATTGAAAGGTTAGGAAGTTTTCTTATTGTCTTCGTCAATTTAGTCTTTATATCTAATGGTTTTTTTTGGAAAACCCTGCGCTCTGTGATTCGAGGATTCGACACGTGCTAGTTGTGATAAATCGATTCGACTCTTCGAGTTTGTGCAATCAGCAGGATTAGAGTTTAGCAGGACATCGAAGTTTATATTTTCAGTGCTTAGTTTGTTTTTGAGGAGGAGAAAGATGATCTACGGGAAGAGAAGCACATAAATCGCTGATTAGTGACGAAGAACATAATCCTTGAATCCTGATCGCCAAGCTTGTGCAGAAATAAGGAGAACGTCGGAATGTCTATTTACGTTTGAGGCCGAGCGTTTGGCAAGTTGTTGCCATTGAGGATTCGGAGGAATTGACGCAGCCTGAATATTGATTGCATTCTTCCAAGATTTCAAAGAGTCTGCAATTGTTCGGGTGTGTACAGCGCTCGCACTATCCGATGCAGTAGTGATCGTACCGTAAGTTTTTCTTTTATTCAGAAGGATGAGCTATTGGCCAAAGGAGGAAAGGACAGTTCTCGCAGCAATCTGGAAGACAGTAGTTAAAATTATCTTTATTATGCGCTTAAATGACACATAATGCTTATGGAATTTAATTCACTATCTTATTAGTCGCTCGCTTACTTAGCAGGAAATCTCAGTGTCTTCATCAATGGTGTTTGAGTTTGTGCGATTAAGCATCGTAGAAGCCTGAGTTTATCCTATCGGACGCGCAAGCTGGTGAAGCGGTGAACTTTCAGTGGCAAGATGGCATCGAAAGGGCGGCTGGTGCAGACAGTTGCTAGGTTTGCATTGTCAAGTCGCCTACAAGGTCGAGTACCTGTTATTGTTCAGAGTCACGCACAATCCACAAGCACACAACCATCAGATTCTCAACAGCCGCCTTCGGTTACCCTTTCCACCGAAGACCTTATTCAGATGGAGCACAAATTTAGTGCACACAAGTGAGTTGTTAAACTCCCTTTTCTGTGCATGACAGTGCGTAGCCTTGTTGCTATTGCTTTTTCGTTCTTGTCCATCGTGTGTTGTGGCCATAAGTTACTTTGTCACTATGTCACGTCTTTCATTACAGTTGTTGGTTCTTGGTTTGGAATATGTCTATTTGAGGTGTTGTTGTTTCGATCTGCAGTTTCCTCTGCTTCGGAGTGCACCTATTCTTACGGGCCTATTACTTAAACACAATAAGTTTTGTGGTAATATGAATACTTGGGTGCTTGTGTGTAACTCTTAAGCGTGGATTTTTCAGTTACCACCCTATATCGGTAGTGTTTGCAAAGGCTAAGGATGTGGAGGTGTGGGATCCTGAAGGCTCTAAGTACTTGGATTTCCTCTCGGCTTACTCTGCAGTGAATCAGGTTATTTTTTTAGAAGACTGAAGCTTTATATTTTATACCATTTTTTTAGAATACTAGTGGATTTCATTTTGAGCATCTCATTTTAGTTATTTTTTGTGCTGTGGGATGTCTGATTATCTTCTGTATTTTACCTATCATATGCTCGAATTTATTTAATCATTTAATTCTTAATATTTTAATCTATTTACCCTTCATCTTCATCTTTATTTTTTCTTTATTTTTTATTTCTATATTTAAACCTGTGAACAATATATTGGTTCGGTATTGTAGGGCCATGGGAACCAAAAGATAATTGATGCATTAATCGAGCAAGCACAACGTCTGACCTTGAGTTCGCGAGCTTTCCATAACGACAAGTTTCCCGTATTTGCCAAGATGTTGACAAGCATGTTCGGTTACGAGATGATGCTTCCCATGAACACGGGTGCTGAGGGTGTTGAAACGTCGATCAAGTTGGCTAGGAAATGGGCTTATGAGAAAAAGGGTATCTCTAAGGATGAGGTATGTCGATCATTTTCTTTTTGTTTTTGGGAATCGCTCGCCTTTTCTTTTACTTGCTGATCCTGTAGTGTAGTCACTGAATCTTGAATGAAGTAATAGAATGACCTTTTCTTTTCTTTTCTTGTCTAAAAGTGACAAATTTCTTTTTGCAGTAGCGGTGTTCACTTAATCACGTAGATCTTGGAAAAAGTTGACGTCTCATGCAATGTGTGATGGGTACCAGGCTGTGGTCATTTCATGCTGTGGTTGTTTTCATGGCCGGACAATGGCAGCGATTTCGATGAGCTGCGATAATGAGGCTACGCGTGGTTTCGGACCATTATTGGGTGGTCAGGCAAAAGTAGATTTTGGTGATGCTAGTGCCCTTGAAAAACTGCTCCAAGGTCAGAACGACTACGTCAGTGTCATGGCATTTCATTATTTTCTACTTTGTATCAAATAAATTTTCATCTCATGCAGTTAATAAGTTTAGCTGGAAGTTTAATTCTTGGCTCGGTTCGCACTTCCTATGAGCTTAAGTAAGCGAGGCTGCACTATGATCTGTTGTTGAACAAGCAGAGAAAGGAGACAAAGTCGCTGCATTCTTGTTCGAGCCCATTCAAGGAGAAGCTGGGGTATTTTTCTCTATGTCATTTTATCTGATTTGATGGTCATCTTCATAACGGTTGGTTTCATTTTTTCGTTTACGAAGTGGTGACATCATCATCTGAGGCATGTTGATTGTAGAGATTTTCAGCCTGGTACAATGCTGGTTGTTTGTTCCTAGTCCAGTAGCACAACATTGTTTGTATATTCTAAGATGTTCTGGGTTATGATCAATGCATTAGTCTCCTACCAGCTGCTCGGGTTTCATACTGGTCAGAGTTAGGTTCTGTCTTTGTTACTTCTATTGTTTCGAATATAAAATGCTCAAAAACAAATACTTTCATTAAACCTATACCAAATGAAGATTAACATGTGCACAGGTTGTCATGCCTCCAGATGGATACCTGAAGAAGGTCAGGCAATTATGCACAAAGTATAATGTCTTGATGATAGCCGATGAAATTCAAACAGGGATCGCGCGCACAGGACGTCTGTTGGCATGCGACTGGGAGGATGTTAGACCTGATGTTGTGGTAGGTTCATTGAAACATTTTGCAAATCCTGGGAGCAACACTGAACACCATGTTTTCTTCTATCGGAGCTGTTTAATGCGCTGGTATCTTTCCTTTAACAAAACAGGTAGGGTCTTTGTGTCGTAATAACATAAGAACTTACCAGTTCTAACTTTCCAGATCTTGGGGAAGGCATTAGGAGCAGGAGTATTGCCTGTTAGTGCAGTGCTTGCTGATGCGGACATCATGTTGTGCATCCGACCGGGCGAACATGGCAGGTAAGTTATAATCTTGTGGAAACGTCTTCATAGGTTGTCCTTTGTACACTATTGATTGCAACATTGATGATGTTGCCTCTGGGTCTTTCGATTTTCGAGTAGCTTTTACATGATCGGTATAGTACACAAATTGCTGGATCGGATGACGATTGAGTCTATGATAAGAGCTTGTATTTGGTGAATATGCACTTCAGTACGTTTGGGGGAAATCCGTTGGCTTCTGCTGTGGGCATAGCTGCCTTGGAAGTGGTCACGGAACAAAATCTATCTGAAAGGTATTCTTATTCAAATCTCGTTTTTCAATGGATTCTCCACTTTATTCCTGTGTCAGAAATTTTTAACCGTCTCTTTCTTATGAACTGTGAGTTTCTTGTCGGTACTGGCATTACAAGAGATCGCACTCAATGTAGAATTGCATGCTACTCTTTTTGTCTTCATCTGATTAAGATGTAATATAGTGAAAATTTCGTTTCCTTGATACGACTTATTCAGTGTTATAGGGGAAGTAGAAACTGTGTGTGGACTAAAAAGGATGTATGTGAACTGTGAGCAGATCAGATAAGATGGGACAGGAGTTCAGAGAGCAGTTACGAGGTATACAAAAAGACTATCCCAATTTAATCAAAGAAGTTCGTGGTCGTGGGCTTTTAAATGCTGTGGTGCTGAACCAAGCAGATTTAGGCAACGCTACAGCCTATGATGTCTGTATGGGCTTGAAGAATAGAGGAATTCTGGCTAAACCTACACACGGAAACATAATTCGGCTGTCACCACCTCTCACCATCAAGTACATTCCTAATTTCCCAAATTCATTGTGGTGAACCTGCATTCTACTGTTATCAGTTTTTATGTTCATCACACGGTGCAATGCGTTTTGTCCATGCTCTTTCTTTGGCCAATTTTTCACATTTCAATTGTGGGTGTAGGCGAGAACAAGTAGCACAGGCAAGCAAGGCGCTGAGAGAAGTTTTTGAATTCGATTTGGCAGATATGAAGCTTCATGCTGAAGACCGCTCCCCACCCAAAACTCCTGATGCATGTGATCGCTGTGGACGCTACAAGTATGTCATGCCTGAGACTGAGCTTTGAGCACTTCGTTGCCCACTTGTCGGCTTCACTGAGGAGAGCCAGGTTACGTATGTGACATATTGGTGGCTTGTTGTTAAACCTTTTTGTGCAGCAGTTTCACTATAGTTGATTTATCATTGGTTCATTCTGGCCAGTGATACGAAATCTTGTGTGTAAAGCTTTGATGATAATATTAGTTTATTTACGGTACTGGTACATTCAGTTTTAGTATTGGTCTTCATTGTATGGTCCAGTTACATGGCTTTCAGTGCTTACAAGTTTGCAAGAAATTTGCATACTGCAAGCATTGGTGCTGGATATGGTTAAACTTTTTAATTATGTAGCGTGAAAGAACAGGGTGTAATTTGATCAAATCGTTTACGTAGGTAAAGATTATATGAAGATTGTATAAAGATTATTTAGTTGTTTGTATATTTTGCAGCGTAAACTGGTAGATGGAGAATACTGAAGTTCTTGGACATGCTTGAGAAAAGAACTACATTAAGAACCTTTCTTTGAATTCAATCTGTATATTTCCAATACTTAAAATTTGAAAAACATGAGTTTTCTTATTTTCAATCTAGGAACATTTTAATAATAATGTTAAATGAAGTATTTGAATTTGAGTCTTACTAGAAGATCATTTAAAAAATGTAATTAGATCTAAAATTTAGAAATCAAAGAAATAAAATGATACAAATTTTGGTAAAGCTAAATTTAAAACATTCAAATTTAAGAAAAAGGTTTACATAGTTTAATGCACTATGTTTATACTTGCTTTGGCTATTGGTCTGTTTATATTATGCCACAAGCATTGAGAAGCTTATCTGAACAGTGTTCAATAATATTTGTTGATGTCTCTTACTATTAAAAAAATTACAATCAAATATTAGTATGTTTAATACACTAGAATAACATGATAATTAAAATAATATAATATAATAGAAAAATTGAGGAAATATATATATATATTTTCTAAAATTTAAACGAAATTGCTTATGTTTTAGACAAATTGACTCTTTTTTCAATAATATTTTTTTATTTTTTAGTCTAATATTTTTTTTCTTCAGAGAACATTCAAGATAGTATTTAAATCCATAATGCCAACATTAACATTTATTATTTAGATTTAAAAAAAAAATTGTATAAATTTTTTATGTTGATATTTTTCTAAGACTTTTTGACACCTGTATTTGTATACTTCTAAAATTGAAACCATCAAAATTTCAAGTTAATCATAAAAATATCTAGGATCTGTTTTATAAGAATTTCTGAAGCTACTTAAAATTGAAGTATACAACCAAATTGTGCAGTTATTTTATTATACTTGAATGAAAATGTAAGTGTTTTAATTTCTATTATAAAAATAAACGATATATATAAAACAAAATTAAAATAAAAACCAGTTAATGTTATGTTAATTTGGTTGAGTGAAAAAAAATCTGACCGAATTTCACAACAAAAAAAAAAAAAAAAAAGAAAAAGAAAAAGATGGCAGGGTTCCACAGTAAAATATAAATATGTCACCATGTGTAATGTGCACACTTTTGCATTTAATATAATTTTAATTAAAAATAAACTCGGATAGCAGCGACGAGATGTGTATACGGGAGCAAATATATCTACGAAAAGTCTGGATAGCATCATGTATCCATGGGGAACAGATGAAGAAGCACAGTCCGCGAAAGACACTTGGGAGAGACGAGAGAGAGATCAGAGCTTCTCAATCTCGTTTTGCAGCAATGGCGATGGCTATGGCGACGGCGCTCTCCTCCTCTTCTTCGCCCCTCCTCTCGCGACCCCTCTTCCCTGCGACGTCCAAACTAGCTTCTCAATCACATTCCACTGCCCCTACTTCATTGGCGCTAAACCAATCGCGGTCTCAAACGGTTCACTGTGGCGCGTTCTCGAGCTCCAGCTCCGTGGTGCCACAATCGTCGTCGCTATGGAGGTCGCTAGCTCTGAAGGTTCCGAGAGCAGGGCGAACCGTGAGAGTGCTGGCAATGGCGGATTCTGCGGATAAGATGACCGTTCTTGTTACCGGCGCAGGAGGACGCACGGGAAGGTTAGCATTCCAGAAGCTGAAAGAGAAGGATGGCCAGTTTGTGGCGAGAGGTTTAGTGAGAACGGAGGAAGGGAAGGAAGCTCTCGGAGGTGACGGTGTCTTCGTTGGTGATGTTGTTAAGCCTGAGAGCATTGGCGCAGCATTTGAAGGAATTGATGCGTTGATAATCCTTACCAGCGCTGTGCCTAAGCCGAAGCCTGGATTTGATCCTACTCAAGGCGGGCGCCCTGAGTTTTACTACGTCGAAGGCGGTTCCCCTGAGGAAGTTGACTGGATTGGTCAGAAAGCTCAAATTGACGCTGCGATAGCTGCTGGTGCGAAGCAGATTGTCTTAGTGGGATCTATGGGAGGAACTGATGAAGCCAATCCGTTGAACTCTTTGGGAAACGGCAATATACTGGTATGGAAGCGGAAGGCGGAGAAGTACTTGTCTGAGTGTGGAGTGCCCTACACGATTATCAGAGCTGGGGGCTTGCAAGACAAAGAGGGAGGGGTTCGAGAGTTGCTGATTGGGAAAGACGACGAGCTTTTGCAGACGCAGACCAGGACTGTCTCCAGGGCTGATGTTGCAGAGATGGCCATCCAGGCGCTTTTGATCGAGGAAGCCAAGAACAAGGCATTGGATTTGGCGTCAAAGCCCGAGGGAGAGGGTACTCCCACCACGGACTTCAGATCAATTTACGCAGGAGTCACTTCCAAATTTTGATTTAGATCATGCTGTGTTGTGCTACAGAGCACTCAACAAGGATTGCCAAGAACGCGGAATGAGATTATGGTCTAGGAATAGCTCTAGTTGACCGTGATTTGCGAAGGATGCAGCCACTTTTACGGAGAAAGATGAGCTTTCTATCATATTTTTTATGAGAGTTTTCTATCGGGAAATCTTGAGATGCTTTTCTTCAACTTCAATTGTCAACAACCGCTTTTGGTTCTATCCATCTGTTGAGAGCCTCCACCCTTTTGTACTTAGGATTTAGATTAGGTGATCACTTGTAGAAATAAAGGTGTTTACTAATTAAGAGTTACTGTAGCCCTTCACTAATTCCTGCTTTTAGACAGTTTATCGTGCATTGTTTCCGACGTGGCAAGGGTCTTTGTAAGCATTCGAAGCCCTGCATCAATGGCAGGATAAACAGCTGAGAGGTTGGCAGATTCCGTAACACCTTCCATCTCTGTGACGCTTGATTCGAATAAGGGTTTTCTGAACCCTCTCGAGGTTTTAGTCTCAACATTCCTGGTGTTATTTCCTCCGGCCGGTACCTCCAGTTGTAGCCAATAAATTTAATTGTGCTTACTAAAATTTATAATCACTTCTTGATCTCGTCCTCATTGTTATCACGCAATGGTTCTAAACGTGCGGTGTAGCAGAGATCGAACTGCTTTTCTCTAAGAAGATATCTTATCCGGCTGAGTGACCAGGTTTTAGATGCTCAACTGTTAATTTTCTTCTCTCCTAGTGCATGTTCGATGCCATTTCAGCCATCCTCTGCACAAAAACCGAACGATGGAAACGTTACAATTAATCATATTACATTCGAGACGCAACAACCCGAGAATTGCTGTGGGTTCGTAAGCAAATCTTTCGTGAATGAGTAGAGTATAATTATATTGGGTTTGTATTGTGTTTGCTTTGTTGAAATTGTGTCGAGCATTTAGATCTTCAGTGATGACTTCAGTGATGACTCATTGGTTAGTCGTGGGCTATGAATAGATGAGTCACCGCATCCAAGCCGGAGTCCAACTTCACAATGCTGGACCATGCACTGATGAGATAACTCTAAAGTGGTAAACTGCTTCACAAGGTCTTCACCGAGATTTAAATCAACAAATAATGAGCACTAAGAAAATCTCCCATTACATTCTAATCACGGCAGAGACAAATGCATAACCTCTCTTCTGACATAGAGTTTGGTTGACTCCTGACTGTTACCTCCAAGTAAGCTTCTTTTCTAAACTCAAAACTGAGATCTAGTGAGTCCCAGCTATGTGACTCATAGAGGTTTAGTGCTACCATCTGTACCAGTGTTTCCTGGAAGAAAATCTTAGATAATCCCATCCACATGGGGTTTCTCTAACTCGCTTCTGGTGTCAGAATGTGGCTCAGGAAGTGATGGCTTATCCTCGGAGTCAACAAGTTCGATGTCTCTTCCGTTTTGAGGTAGTGTAGACTGCTTATCCTCAGTATCCACAGCTTGTTGCAGGTTAGCATTCACGAAATCTTCTACAACCGGGTTCGTCACAGGAAGATGCTCGTTGAGAACGTTCTCAACTTCAGCATAATGATTTGGTGGATGGGATAGGGAGACTTGCATGTCTGTGTGTGGTTTGTTTCCTGTCCTATCGGCGGTGTAGGGCAGTGTCACGCCCGTTTGAGGCTGCAGTACTTGCGCAGGGCCATTCTCTGCAAGGGGTTTGGCTGTATCTCCTTGAATGTCTTTCTCCACTTCCTCAAATTTGGAAGTTGCCCATGGGGCTATCCCCACATTCCGAGGGACTGTGGTAGTCTTGATTACTAGTGAGGAGACCGCATCCCTCGCTGAGTACCACGTATTGCCGCACTTCAGACATTCCAGCTGCACGTATTTATAATGAAAAACCAACTTGTGAACTGTTTGAAAGTGTGATACTTTTTCAGTGCATACTTTGACCATTACGACGACTCGAAAACTACTCAGCGCCACCTATGCTTCAGTAAATAAACTTAGACTCAAGAGAATCGCATTTCTAGGTCAATTGAGGAACCACAATCTTAAAAAGAAAATTAACCCATAAACGTACTTGGTAGCGGTCGCCATAACTGACATGTATGATATCAATGACACCCACTTCTCGTTCTCCGCATATTGAACACCGCACATCTGCCATCTGCTACCAGATTCATATCAGCACACAGAACGTTCTTGATTTCGAAGAGAATTATGGAAGTGCACACAATGAAACAAGTTTACGACAAAAACAGAAACAGCTATGGTGGAGGGCAATAACCTGCATTGCCTCTGGCTCGGGAGGTGCTTGATCTTCCCTCTCTGTTGTTAAGTATCCATCCTGAAGAAAGTATAGGCATGGACGTAAATACATAAGAATCCTTTACCAGTCAAATGAGAATCCTTATCAACTCAGGTCATAGAGCAATCGGGTGCAGAAATTCAATCTCTGCGAAAGACTACTTTTGGGGCACAATTGTGGTACAAACCTTCAATTCAGCGGGAGTCATGTTTATTACTGCATCCGGTCGCAGTTCCTTACTCAATAGACGACGTGCCAAAACGTTGTTGTTCTGCTCGTAATCACAAAGAACAGTCATGTTTCGATGAGAGGGCCTGTTTGTGATCCAGAAAGTCTCGGAACATGCTCTGATGATGCACTATTCAATACACATGATATTGCAAAATTTTAAATATATATATGAATAAAAATCAGGAACAATGGTGATCAGAATATGTCTGGTGATCATAGAACGTAAGTAAATCTGAAAGCAGCACAGAAAGTATTTTATGCCTTTCGCGTGACTATGAGGGAAGAGAGGATGTGATATTACCTTGACATTAAAGTCTAGTGAGCGCATTTTAAGGTTGTACTTATGTAAATCAATGCCAAGTGAATCATTAGCTAGTTTTTCCAGTGCATAAGCTACTTCAACAGCTACAGGAGCAATCTCAGGCCAGGTAAGATCTCCCTCTCCCTGGGAAAATTCAAACAACACATATTTGAATCTCTGTCATTATTTTATGTTAAAAAATGATGCAATAAAATAGAAGTCAAATTTATCTAGAGGTGACCAGCTGTTAATTCAGAATTTCGTGAAAATAAAGCATTGGAAGGTGGAACCAAAACACTTACCAAGAAACTTTTCTTCCTTCCTGAACACTGATTATCTCCTTCAGCTTCAGCCTCATTGAGTGCCTTATTAGCATCCTCCTCCCCTTCGTTTCCATTTCTTACATGAAAGCTTTTTCCGCCTCCACAAAGATCCCGAATCGTGTGCACTAGTTTTTCTAGCCAACGGTCTCGCGCATGAACACCGGTAAGGACACCTTGGTTATTTAATAAGGTGGAAATCTCTTGGTCTGTACTCACAGCACTAGTGGGAGTCTCAACTTTTAGGGTATCGGTTTTCTCGGTTGGTGTCATAGATTGCATTTTCGGCTCGCTACCATAAAACTCTTCGCTCTTTAAATTCAATGGTGCAACTGTCCTCTTCGCAGGGACCTTTCGCTTGAAATTGAGCTCTGTAGAAGCTTCCTCTTCAGCAGGGGCAACAGGCTCATCCCCAGTAATGTCGGGCAATTCTCCAAGGGCCTCGCGAGTTTTTTGAACAAGGAGATCAATCTCCTCTTGCATAGGGTCCTCGTAATCTTTATCGGTGAGGTTGAAAAGCTTCTTTTCACACGCATCATACACCCGGCGAACTATGAAACCTGGATGTTTGTGCCGCTGAGGTAGCTGCTTGTTTGGAGGAACGAAATGAACTTGACATTTATGCATAACAGACTCCGCTGATACCTCATCAATGTGGAAGCTGTAAAAAAGCTCCCTGGAATCTGATGATGCCCATGTACCTCCACCTTTCTTATCGGCCTCCTCAGGTCTGTAGAACCACTGACCTTCAATCTGAACCGTTCCATCTTTCGCCTGCATGATTTTCTGCATAAAAAGAGATAAAAAGTTGTCCCATACGTAACTAATCCAAATCCTCTTCATCGTTACAAGTACTTGCAAAAGTTTGTGAAAAATGACCTGGTATTGTTTTTAAGAAAACACAAACATGGTTGAAGTTTAAGCCTAAGTAATGGAACATAACGAGTAGCAGAAAGAGGCCTTTGCAAGAGTACCTTAATAATAGCCACATACGGTTTCTGGCTGGGACTTTCAGGCGTGATAAGGACAGCATCATCCTGTCAGAATGTTCAAAATACAAGGTTCGTAAGAAAACCGCCTGGAGCTTTACTCGAAGAGATGCCACTGGCTTTCTCTAGTAGATTAACAGCTTGCAATCGGTTTAGTGGTTATGCACAATAGCAGCCACTAAGCCTAACATTGACATAGTGCAATGCAATGTAGAGCAACATCCCCTATCAACTGATAGCGAACCAGGTAATAATCTGAAATTCCTTACAACTTCGTAGAGATTGTCGTCCACTTCAAAGGCCTGATACAACGCCCTTCCCTTATCTGCCTTGCCATTCATGCTTTCTTTCTTTTCCATAATCTTTCCTATGACTTTAACCTCAGAAGGTATTTCTTCGTCACTATTGTATCCTCCGGGAGCTTTATGGGTTCTGCCGTCTCCATCCAGTTCGTCATCTAAGTCACTTTCAAGCTTCCTTTTCCCCATATTCGAGTGTGAGGATTGATGACCTTGCCCTTTTTTTCTTTCAAATTCTCTCCAAAACAGATCTACCCCACCGATACAAAGTAAGCAAGTAACGAAAATTAGTGGTAATTATGCAGAATAAAACCCTCAAAACCCACGAAGAGATAGTAACACACATGCCAATGTTACGATGACGGACCGACGAAACCTTTGCAGTGACAAGGAATCCCCACGATGATATATAGGTATACAAAGAAGACGCTGTTTCTTGTCATTTCACAAGCATTCACCGCCTGATAAAAATCAAAGAAACCACACCCACTTACAGTCCCCAAACCTCTACCTTAACAGCAACCACCAGCGGAGAACCATGACTTAGAGCACAACCACTTCAATCACGTTTCCAAGCGAGACACCCCGAAAGCATCGAAAATACAATGGCTCATAGTATCTCTACAACTACAGCTCCTACACCAACACGCTAAAGCATCTAAAGCTACAAAAGGCTGCTACCCATTGCAGCAATCCGCTTCAAACACGACTAATCAAATGGACTCGACCTTAGTTCGTTCTCCATGCCCCAGATTTTGGAACTCAACCTCTCCTTTGCAGGCTCCCCATTTCAACCACTCCCCAATAGCGAGAATCCTCTCCGCCATCTCTTATCCTCTCCACCATCTCTCATCGAGGGACCCTAAAATCGAGGCAGCACGGGCACGTACCTGCACTCCACGCTCGCAGCTAACTGAAAGCAACTTCAGCATCCGAAACCTTCCGAAAATCACACTTCGAGAGGCGCAGTTGTGCAGGTCTACGGAATGGCGAAGGCCGAAGAAGTCACAAGGAAAGCACGCCAAGTGGCGTTGTTCGGTGTCGGCCATCGAGGCCATCGAAGCAACAGTGTTTCTGTGTGCAGCTGGACCCACAAACATGGATCTCATCCTGTGGGTTGGAAAGTGCACAAGCTTAAAAATGGATGTGTTTCTTTCATCCTGAGCAATGCATGGACACTTTAGTCGCATATCTTTAATGGTAAAATTCGATAACGGAGTAACATATTGAGATGCTGGTGCCGATGCATACAGAAAAGAAAATCCTTCAAAAAATTTGCTACAATTGTGTTTATTTTTCTACTATGATGTGAGGTTGAAATGGTTAGTAGATTAGAGCGCTAATAAGCACAAGATGGAGGCAGACAATTACGAATAAAACACAAAGTTATAAGGTGGGTGAGGAAGCAAGATGGACATGCCGCATCGCAACAAACAAGTATTCGAACCCCATCTGGTTGCATCGACCAATTTGGGAAAAAACACGAAACGGTTTTTTTTAGAAAAGTCGCCTCCCTCTCGTCTTCTCCCGAACCAAGTCTTTTTAAAATGGACAACGGTGCGAAGGATGCGAAGGCAATTGGGTGCTCTCGAGCTATCTCACTCACTGTGACTTGAATGACGTGTGACGACATCTTCGTCTTGTTTGGAGTGCGCGCAGGCCTCCGCGAAACCCCAATCCACATTGTCCCAGTCCTCGCTTGGTCTCCTCCACGGCCTCGCTCCTTCAGCCCAAGTAGCCGTTCTCGGCACGCCATTTCCTGGTTTCACTGTGTCGTCATCCCCTTGTGGTATGAACCGTGGCGGATTCCGCAGGCCCCAGCGAGCAATCACTAACTACCTCTCTGCTCGCTGTCGATGATGCTGCGATTGCGATTTCTTGTCTCGGAGATTAGGTGGGTCGAATCACTCGCCCCATCTTCGAGGATTTGGAAGTTGTTGGCTGGGGTTTAGTGATCCGCAGGTTTTAGATTGAGGACCATTCTGACGTGGATATTTTGTTACGTGGAAGAATTTCCCGCTTGCAAATACAACTTGCATGGTGATTCTTTACTTGGACTAAGTGCTGATGCAGAGGTTCTCTGTTCTCATAAGATTTTAGTGATTGTCATTAATGAAGCTCCTCTCGTGTGATCAAGTTCTTTTCCATGTGTGTTTCGGTTCCATTCTAGTGATTATTATATGGGAAATTATGTACGTGCGGATCCAGCTGCCGTTTTGCATGCTGACGATGAATGAAATGTCGTCCGTAGAGAGTTGAAATCTACAGTCCAGTGCGAGAATGACCTGCGCTGAGCTCCATGATCGTCAAATTTTATGATTTCGAAATTCTAAGCTCGGATGTTTTGGTGTTTCCCTCGTTTAGGGTTCAAGTTTTAGTTGTATTCAAAGGATTTTGTGTTTGATCATTTGTGGGGCGATTCCCTCGAAGTTTCAATTAAGGTTACCTCAAGTAACCGCCCATGCAAAACTGTTTGGAAAGTAACCTCCCTGTTTGGCAGAATTTGTTGTTGTGTTCCTGATTAAATGTTTCTCATGCACATTAGAAAGAAAGCCTTGAGTGCAATGTCTAATTCACGAAATGTGTATTGGAGAGCAGAGGGAGATGATTGTTTGGAAGTTGGATCTGGTTTTTCAGAGATGAAAACGCTCTGCGAAATTTCGTTGGTGGAACTAAGGTTTGCTGGAGGAGGATGATGAGTTCTTTTTTGTTCTGAGGTAATAGGAATCTTGGCCAACTTATATCATCTGGATAGTTCTGGATGCAATCGGCAGCTACTGGAGACTTTTCAGTTTTGTTTTACAATTTGTGAGACCTCAGATGTTGTCGCGAGTTTTGGGTCGGGATTGCATCGATAATATTGTTGCGATCCCAAGATTTATGTAATTCTTGACATATGCTTGTCTACCTTCATTCGGTTCGGTCATAATCTTACAAAGCTTTCATCACTCTTTGTGGATTCTTACAGTTCCCCGACCTCTCTCGCTCGCTCGCTTTCTGCTTTATTACACAGATTTTCTTTCTGTATGGTTGCAGGATTTTCTTTCTGTATGGTTGCAGGTACGAAGATGAAGGAAGAAGTGTGCCAGAATTCAGTTTTGATCTCTACTACAACGGGGATGCATGCATCTTTGAAACGACAGCGTTTGGAGAGCATCGATCGCTCCTCCAACCTGTACCCAGAATCTTGCATGGATGAGGCCAATGATTCGGTAAGTTCAGCTTACCGTTGGTGTATATCATACCATGCATCCTTTTTGTAGAGTCAAATTACCAGTTGTTTTAAATGTCTTTCATACATATCGTCGCGTAAGTAGTTGATCAGAGTAAAAAGCTTCTTGGTTGCTCTAATACAGATGAGTGATGGACGGGATGGTATGATGCGAAGGTTCACCTTGAATCCATGTCTGCGCATGATTTTCAGAGCCCCAGCTCTGCAACTTTGAAAATGTAGCCTTGAACAAATCTCTTACGAAATGGCAGCTGAGTGTTATAAATGTATGTTATTCTCTTGGCAGGAGACTTTTGTATTTGGTGACCCAAGTACAACAGATGTGTTTCTACACTTACAGCGAGACAAGTGTTCTCTATCGGAAGAAGAAAACAAATCTGAAGATGTTACGGAAGACATAGCTGAAGTCCGTGTCCATGTTCATGTTTTGAAACAATGTCGTTACTTCGATGCGCTCTTCTCAGACAGATGGCAGGATCAACCGCGGACGTCAACACAGGAAGGAAGGAGGGCTTCTAAATTCATCCACATAAATCTCAGCGTTGCTTCCGGACGGTCCGTAAGCTCTTACATAGCAACATTAAAACTTATGTATACACACGATTTTGACGGGACTATATGTGATGTGGAAAGTGCTTTAAGTATCCTTCCCGTAGCAGCAGAGCTTCTATATGATCACTGTATTTCTGTCTGCGTGAGATTCCTGGAAGCAGTTGCGTGGAGTAGGGAAGAAGAACGGCAGATTGTTCACCTTGTATCATATTTACAACTTGAAGAGTCTTCCGCACTGCTTGCAAGACTTAGTCCTGTTAAGGTGAGTGAATTGAACCTTAGTCATTTGAGTGCTTGGATCTGTGTAGAATTCACTGTTATAATTTTAAATGTTAATTTCGAAAAGTTCTTAGTATGCAGCCTGGTTTACTTGCATTCGTCTTCAGGGTTGAGTTTGGACACCTCTTTAAAGCTGACTCTACTTCTCATTGTGAAGGAAACTGCAGTTGTGGACATGTTCAATGGGCTGGTATATGCAGCTACCCACAACCATCAGAACGGCGCCAGTGTGAAGGCTTTTGTAGCTCAATTCTTGAGTGGACACGCCTCTAGGGACACACTTCGGCAGGTTTTGGACAAGGCGTTTGCTCTTAGTTTGAAAACTGTAAAGGACTCTGTAGAAGAGTACGCCAGCCCTAACGTGAGGGGCCGCCACGATGAAATCGAAGCCCTCCAGAGACAAAATCTTCACACTGCAGTCGTCAAAGGAAAGCATTTGTTTTGGATAGTTGAAAGAATGATAGAACTGAAGGTTGCAGAAACCGCAGTTGTAGAGTGGAGTGAGCAAGGAGCATTCGCAGCGAATTTAAAACGTGCATTCAGTGATGACACCTGGAAAAATATTGCGCCTGGCCTCTCTTCTCTTGTGCTTCGCTGCACCTGTCGCTTAGCGAGTGCTGTTGCTTGTGGGTCTATCATTGCCTCGCAGCAGGTAAACACTTAACTGGGCCCCTTCAAGTTTGCCACCGTTCTATTGTAGTTTTCATCTACGTTAATGCAACTAGGAGCTGCTCTGCCTTTTGGATTATTTCTCTCCTTTAGTGTAGATACCTCTAATTAGATGTAAATGCATAACTCATTGCTTTTCGTTTCTGTACAAACGGTTCTTTGTTTCTGAGTGGCTATGTCCCGAATTACTATGCTTCCTCTGCTTTATTTTGACATACTTTCTTTTCACTCACACTTTTGAGGTATTTCTGATACATAGGTACGTCTGAAGTTGGTCAAGGACTGGCTGCCTGTGTTGGTTGTGTCTCGGAACGTGTCTCGGGATAACCAATTATCTGCGGTTCAAAACAAGCAGCTCCATCAAGAACTTGAGGACGTCTTCTTGAAGATCATTCTCACCCTACCAATGTCTGAGTCTCAGAAACTCCTGCAGCAGTGTCTGAGCTTCGCCACTCAAAACTTGGAAGACTGTCCGCACCTCGTGAATGCTTTTAATGCTTGGTTCCGAAGAGCAAATCGACCTCTTGCAATGGAAAAAGGAGAGGTGGAGTCAGAGGGTTGTTGAACCCAATTCTTCGTAGGCAAGGCTTCTGTAAGTTTGCAGATAGAACCTGACCCAGGTTAGTCTTTGCTCGCATTACTTCTGAGGTTTGTCGGAGAAATGCAAAGATTGAGGGGAATTTCTGGTGACATGTTAAGATCGGGCATTTCTGGTAGCATTTAAAGTCCAACAGTTGGCGACGCTTAGAAGTTAGTGAGCCTATCGTCAGTAAGTTGCTTAGTCTAGTATATGCCAATGAACCAGATGTACAGAGTCTCTATGTATATTGTTTGTATAAGGCTTCGGTTGTAGTAACAACATTGTCATTCTGTCATGACCACTCAAATGAATGTAGTGTTTGTTTCACAGGTGATAAACATTCTGTAGGCTTTCATGGATCAGTGCTTAGAACTGTAAAACTGGTCTCCGCTCTGAATTCCACTCAGCAAGATTGTGTAATATTTTAGTGCTACTTTACTAGAGCAGTAAAAATGCGTATGATAAAACAACTAAATGCTCATGTATAACTGTAACAATAATCTATGTTTGTTGAATATGTTCATGTTAATGTAACGTCAAGAAGAAAATGACGTTGCAGAAGGTGGTGTATTTTCTCTTTAGCAATCTCAGAATGTACCAATCCATTTACATATTTCTTAAATACTGGCAAATGGAAAAAAAAGTATTGATTAACGAAGTTAGTATGCATTTGATTTGTATAATGTCAATCATGGTAAATGGTCATGTTGACAGGATTTTTGGGAGTTGTTTTAAAAACTAGAGAATTTACCAGGTACTATTGTATGTGTTTTTCTAAATAATTTGATGTTATGACTGATCCTCTATTTTACATAAACAAAATTTAAGATATTAACACCATTTGCTGTAATTGATGCATATTTTTGCCATAGTTAGGTTTTATTTTACTTCAATTGACAAGGATAAAAATAATTTTATAAAGAAAATGTGTTATTTATTTATTTATTTGATCATTTAGTTTAAAAATTCAAAATAATTATAGAATGAATTTGAGATCATATTGTTCATAGACAGATATATATATATATATATATATATATATATAATTTGCAAAGAGATAACTTAAGTAAATTTTAATTAGTTGCACATGATTATTCGTAATATGCAATTTGATGTTATTTACATGTAACTTCATGTCATTTCTTGAGATAGCATACATCAAAAAAATTACTTATCAACAATTTCTATTTTCTTCTCATTTGTCTATATTACTATTAATTTTTAAAATTTTAATAATACAACTAAATTGTTGTTTGTTTGTTTGTTTGTTTTTTTTTTTTTAATGTGCAAAAAATCATTTATATATAAATTAAAAAAAATACCTGGTATTTTCACAAAGAGAGTTTTTATTAGTATTTTCAAGGATTTTGGTATAATATAATTGAAAAGTTATTTTTTAATTGAATTATAACTCTTATTTTGTATAATATGTGGTCTTCTTAATGTTTCTTTTTGAATAAAAAGTTAATAATCTCCTAGTTTCAAATCATTATTGATATAACATTCAACTACTAACTTGTCCCAATTATCAAATGCAATTTCATTTACTTTTTAGAGATTTAAAAATAGCCAATGTGTAGGTCTCACCTACCTTTACATTAGTCAATATTCCCAATCTCCTTGATGTCTAAAAGTCTTATAGGCAACCCCTTCTTGCTTTTTCTTGCTCACGTCTCCACTTCTGTTAGTTGTGTGGTACATTCATTGAATGTTAAAATCCATTTATGCAATATTTAAGATCATCAAGTTTTAACTTGATTGTGTTTTTTTCTTATAAGCAAATAAATTGTTCAATTTTTAAAGTTCATTGTAAATACACACATCCAAATTATTCTCAATATTAGCCCAACTTCATAATCTCTATCATTGTATCCACATAGTAGTCACTATTCATTAATTTATTTTTGAATAAATTGATGCATTCCATCATTAATGAGGATGTTTAAAAACATTAATAGATTGTTATAAAAATTCCAAAAATAGAACTATTTGTGTGGATTATGGAGAAGTATTGACGTAGCTTCTTATATAATTACCAAGAAAATAATCATTTATGTGGGTGCTAGAGAGGCATAAGTAGCTTGATGTCTTGTAGAAGAGATAATTGTATAAGAATTACAAAACAAAGACATAGGCAAGAAGAGGACCAAAGTACACACAAAATTGGAGGAAGAGATGCAACTATAGAGATGGGAGTATAAATGGGAAAGTAAAAAACAAAACAAAACAAAATAATAAGAAGAATTGTTTGCATAACCTTGGAGCATTAAGACATGTCTATTTGGATTTGGGACTTAGACAAACGCAAGGAAAGTTAAGGCCTACATAGAGGTTGTTTTTGGCATAGTAAAAGTAAGTGAATTGTGCATAATGATCATAACAAATATTGCAAGTTGTATTCTTTTTATATACTATTGAAATTTTGGTACTAATCTCTTATAAAAATTATTTTTTGCACCAAATAAAAAATAAGTTTACTACCAATTTTTTTGTCTTCATTCTTATTGTTTAAAAAGATGGATACATGTATTTTTTAAAAAATATAATTGCAATCCAAATATTTTGATCTACTACAAATTATTGTGCATTAAAATAAAATAAAATAAAAATAATTATCAAAAACACTTTCATTCATTTACTTGTTATTTTTTTCAATGACCAAAAATGAACTTGGTCTACTTGTATGTTTTTGGAATTTTTGTATTATTTTATTAATTTTATATATTTGTGTCATTTTTTAGCTTGCATAAAAAACTAAAAAAAAATGTTTTGCTAACAATTATTGTATTACATGCGCTATTGTTTATGAAACATAATAAGAATTACTTGACATTAACTGACACATGCTATGTACATATTAAGTTTGACGTATTTAATGATTGAAATAACTTATTGTGCTTTTGAAACATTTTTAGTCAACAAGTATACTATTACAATTTCTTTAAGCTCTTTAATCTACACTAATAGGAATATAAACAAACAATACTTTTCAAACCAAAAATATACTAAGAAAAATTAAATCAAATAGAAAAATATTAAGACATATTTTAAAATAATAAGAATCAAATAAGGAAAAATAAATTATTCATTGTATCATGACTTAAATTTCATATTTTGAAAAACCATCAATATTTACACTCCTAACACCATACAAAAAATTATATATATATATATATATATATATATACACATCTTGAAATTGATGTACTAACAAAGGTTCAAATCAATATACTCATTATACAATCAACATGTAGACATGCAACTCAGGTAAAGAAAAAATATCTAAAAAGAAGAGCCATGAATTCAAAAGAAGTGGACCCATCACACTTGTAACCATACATAAATTAAGCGACACCTACATTTCATAAAACACGTTCGCGGGATCGAGAACGTGAAAGCACGCCAGGGGAACAAGGCGTTCCCGCCGCCATAGCCACGAACACCCCGAAACAGAATCCCCTGTTTTGGCTCAAACCTGAGGCGCAATTTTGAAGAGGCTTCCTCGAAATTAGCGCCTCGAAAGCGATTAGATTATGAACTAGATTGCTCATCCGATGATTTAGGGAGATGCTTGTGGAGATTGCCAGTCTCGCGACTTGAAACTGTGACCCCAGTTGTTGGGTTGGGCGCAACAGCGAGAAATCTTGAGGTGAGCTCATGCCGAGAAGCTTTGACAGGGAGTTGAGAGTAGCTTGGAATTCTCCATCGCAGCTCCTTAGATTGCGTCGAGTAGATTACTTTTTTCGCATTGCGTTGGTTGATGACAAAGGATTTGCGCTTGTTTTCTGTGGATGCAGAGCTTTGGTTAGGACTGGCGCTTTTCGCTCGTGCTCGCTTGGTGGACATCGAATCGCAGGTTTGAGCTTCTCGAATGGGAATTTTAGTGTTGGTTAATCTTTTTCGAGCCGGTTTCTGTTTGTCATCGATAAGTACGTGAGGGTTTCTTCAGCGTATGTTCTCTGCATGTAGAATTTGAACCCGAGCTAGTTTCTTAGCTCAACCTTTTCTTTACAGTGTGCATGTTCCCCTTTGTCTTATATTTCTTGCGTGTGAGTTTGTGTGTTTTAGAGAAGTTGAATGAAAGGCGCGATTTCCTCTGGTAGCACAAATTTCAGGGCTGTCAAGTACTGGAGTCCGACATTACACGTATGGCCTCGCCAACAGTTCTCAGTCGCCAAGCCTCTAACTGCTCCTAAAAGTAGTGGGAACTTTGGGTCACTTTTCTACTCTTGTCATGAAAGCGCGCAAAATCCTTCCACTCTGTCTTTAGGTAGAGGCTCTACACTTGCTTCAACTGCGCGTCTCATTGCTCTTGCAGAATGTAACGCCACCTCAGGGTGTTACAGAGCTTCTCGTCTTTTGCCCCAGAGATGCTTGATTGCCTGGAGCAGCTTCTGGATCGCCGATCATCATGGGGCAGTGAGTTCACGCATACCAAATTGCAGGTGAGTGGCTTTCTTTGGTCCTGAGCACCTCAATGAGTATTATTTTCGAAGGGTTCTGGCTTCGCATCGTTTGCAAGATATTGTGGTTGCGCTTAAGGTACACGAAGAAATACTAGTGTGTGTGTGTGTGTGTGTGTGTGTGTGTGTGTGTGTTTGTAAATGTCTTCTGAGCTGGCATTGGGGTTTGAATCTAATGAGATACCTTAAATATAAATGTCATTTCGGTTACCTGTAGATCGTCTGACATTCTGACAAAAAAAAAAAATGGTCAACACAACCTTGGAAACTAATCACTCAATATACGATTCGAAGTTTTGAGATATACTTTCTACTTAACATTTCATCTTGTAGAAATTCATATTTGTATCGCATCTAGATTTCCTGTATGTGGCGTGTATCACGTTTGAGTAGCCTCATGAAACTTCTGCAATTTCCTAATGAATCGTGCAATTTGTGTACTTCGATTGTTTCATAGGCCAAGTATCTCTTTTCCTGTGTCTCAACTTGAAGACAGAAGTGGGCTCAAACAGATACAGTGCTCGAGTTTTGTTATCTGGAAGCTTAATTGTACCAGCATGAGTGAAAGACAGCTTAGACTGAGAAAGGAGAGGGTAACGTCTGCAGAGACAGTTGCCCGAGTTCATACAATGCGACATGGAACCGGAAGCACGAAGCCCGGAAAAGTACGTTGCTTCTCAGAGGTAATTCTCAATAATGTTCCCAATTTCGAGTCGGTTGGAGTTGTTGCGGTAGCACTTTTTCATTCCCATATTTTTTCTGTTTTATTTCTCCTGTAACCACGGAGTGATAATTTCATGAAAAATTTCCTGATGTTGAACCCTAATACAAGATGTGGGATCTCCCAGGAAGCAGTCGTGAAGCTCAGTAAGGAAAACTTTGATGCTGATAGCTGGCAATTTCAATTACTGGAACGTCATGAATCTAATAATCTGAACTCTTACACTGTTGCTGAGCTTCGTCAACTGTTGAGGTTCGTTCTTTTGTTATCTTACCTTGATTGTCTTAAATGTTAGAGTGGCTAAATATTTCAATGAGGTTAAATGTTTTTGATACTTGAAAATATTTGTTTCTGCAAACTCAATACATTGCATCTTCCCTCAAGTTGGATTTTGTTTTTTTAAATAACTACTTTGTTTCTGTGAATTATTTGAGCTGGTCTGGAGGAAATTGGCGGGCATACGGAGCTCAGACCATGTATCTATTATTACATGCGCTCGTTGCAATTATAAAAGTACACGGTGTCTGGGTACATATTTTTAATGTTATAACTCGCAATGCACACGGATCTTGTGAAAGTTGCATGAAGCATATAGATCGTCTCCGTTTATGTACTGCACAACGACGCATTGGTCGTGGTACTCATAATACGGTGATACTGTGTTGGACAGGAAGATGAAGAAAGAACCAAAAGGTTTGAAATCAGATTTACTGAAGGCTGTGAAGAGTTGGCTTTCTGATCATGGATGTCCAAATTCGTTAGGTGTGTTCCCTTCCATTGCATAGAATATTCATTGGTGACCAGATCCTCAGTAGTAGCGAAAAGTCGCATTTTAAGTGTTTATGTTTCCAGTTAACTCATAATCATTCTTAGAAACGTTGTTAACTTGTTTTACGATTGCTTGTATAGTTCTGGACGAGGAAGAAAAGATGGATATTGACCCGAACTCTCAAGTTCTCGGGACACCGGAGGAAGTTGCCATGGTATCGAAAACCAGAGCAGCCGTATCTCATCGAATTGGAACGCAAGGTGGCAATAAGAGGATGGGATTAGAATCCGCTTCACCAACTAGAAGAAAGAGACAAAAGGATGCAGCAGGAGAAGTTGGTGGTGAAGATGTCGCCAATATACAAGTCGATAAATCTGATAAAAAGTCGCCCAAAGCGGAATCACGCAAAAAAACCATAAAAAAAACCGAGGCAGAACCCTCCTCGGTAGGTAATGACAAGGAGCCATGGACTAGTTTAGTGCATAAAAAACCTCAACCTGGGTGGGTGGCTTACGATCCAAAACTCATGCGGCCGAAGCCACCTGCTAAGGATGAGAAAGTGGTGAAGCTGCTATCTTGGAACGTGAATGGTTTGCGGGCTCTCTTGAAGGAGAAAGGAGCTGAACATGAGCAAGGTTCTATGATTGCTCGGCTGGCTGCAAGAGAGGACTTCGATGTGCTTTGTTTGCAGGAGACAAAATTACAGGTTAAGCTGCATCATCTTCGTTGTTTCGTTGCAGGATGATCTCATGATTACGATCTGTTCTGCTGTTGTATTTCTTGAGTTTTTCTATGTGAATGATCTGTTTGAATACCCATGAAGACATTATATTTATATCTGGTAGCTTACGATCACAGTGCGAGAAATGTGTTGGGTGGGATTACTTATTTATTTAGTGTGTTCAATTTTGGGCATCAGCAACTCTATAACACCGAAGACTCAGGATCTTGTTTGGATAGAAGTTCACGAACCAGCATCAGCAAGGTTCCTTCAAAAATGTATTAGCTCCACAAATAAAGTCTAGATCCTTATCTGTTTTCATAGTTGTGGTAATCAGGAAAAAGATGTTGCAGACATCAGAAAGTCTCTGCTGGCAAGTCACGAGGTAAGTTTGTGGGGTTGCAGCACCAGCAAGCTCGGTTATTCAGGGACAGCCATCATTTCGCGGGTCAGCATCATTAACAACATATATTGTGTCCATTACAATCTCATGTGATTGCCCAGAATTGAGTCCAAGTTTGCGTCGTCCCTTAGAGTAGCTTGTCGTGATGTGTACGTACAACGTAATTGCTTCCTCATGCGAGCATTGTCTTCTTGAACGTGCCTACAGATTAAGCCTATATCAGTGCAATATGGGCTTGGTATACCAAACCATGACCAAGAAGGTCGTCTCATCACGTGCGAGTTTGATACTTTTTATTTTGTTGTCAGCTACGTCCCCAACTCAGGGGCTAAGTTGGAAAGGCTGGTATGTTAACTTGCATTACGTTTAGCATCAAATCTTGGCCCTACTAACTTACTTTTTAGACTCGTTTTTTTGAACTTTAAGAGAAATAAGTTACCGATTTAACTCAATGTCATGTTGGCAGGCATATCGTACACAAGAATGGGATGTAGCTCTAAGCAGCCATTTGAGGGTAAGTGTGTGCACTACCAGAAATGCAGCTTCGACTACTTCTGTTTTGTTTTGTTTAATTTCTGAGACATCTGACATGAAAGGACCTAAGTTGATATTTGCATGCGATTTTCATATCAGGAATTGGAGAAGAAAAAACCAGTGATACTCACAGGAGATTTGAACTGTGCTCATGAGGATATTGACATTAACGATCCTGCTGTAAGACTCAGAAATACTTGACCTTAAATGTTCTTGCAGCTATGCATCTGAGATAAATTGGCTCTTACAACTTGAAATTCTCGCTCTTTTCTATAATGATAAATGATAATATAAACTTTTGTAATGTACTAATTTGCGAGGCATTGGGGAATTGAGTTGGTTAAAAGCTGACTTATTGGATGTTCGATGTATTCAGGGTAATAGGAAGAGTGCAGGTTTTACCGATGAGGAGCGAGAATCGTTTAAAACGAATTTTCTTGACCACGGTTTTGTTGACACTTTTCGGAAGCAACACCCAAATGCTGTTGCTTATACCTACTGGGGTTATCGCACGGCATCCCGGCCCAAAAACAAAGGTTCTGACTAGCAGCTCATCTGTTCTCCGCATGCTTCTTATGGAATGTTTTAATAGCTTTTGCTACTTGCCGTCCAAAGAAGTGTTGTGAAATTTAATTAAACTGTGTGTTAGATAATCTAATTGCTCTGCTTGTGTGAGGTCACTCCGCCGTTGGAGCCAAATCTGAAATCCAGCTAAGACGGTGTGGTGGTTTTGCAGGGTGGCGTCTAGACTACTTTCTTGTATCAGGGTCACTCTCAGAAAACGTGCACGACTCGTACACCATACCTGACGTGGGCGGTAGCGATCATTGTCCCATTGCGCTCATCCTCAAAATATAGCCAATGTATCTTCACCGTAGAACTCACCCTTGCCCCTGGGTCTTGTAGTCTCTTGATTCGTAACCACTAGTTGACTACGCTTCGTGCTTTTTATATCCGCAGACCCATTTATGCCTTAAAGTTGCCGGTGACCTTATCTTGACTATATTTTGTTGGAACTCTAGCGGTTTGGATATTGGAGACTTAGCGACTTCAATTAGGAAATCAGCAAACACAACCTGGTTCCTCCGGCTTTGCCATTTTAACCTGCAGTATACAGAGCATGAGCATACACTATGTGCAACTGCCATGGTCTTTTTTCTTTTTTTTTTCTTTTTTTACCTCCACAAATAGAACGAGAGATTACACCTCCACTGTTGATCTCAGCTTCTGTCCTAGTCTAGCAAAACTCTATTAAAATTGAGGCTTACTACAGGTTCATAACCATCACGGTAAGCAATCCGCACAGGTTTTGAGGCTGCCTCTTAGCCATAAGCCTAGTCTATTGATATGCTCTCGTGAGCCAGGGTCACTTCGTCATGGGAGATGCATGCCAGTGCAGATGGAATTTATGCTGTGATAATCACTTCTGAGTTTATCAGAAGGAGAGCTTTTGATGGATGAGGAGTCCTCAGTACACTGTCTAACTGGTACATGTGACATACTAACCGTTGAAACGTAGGTCATCAGGATATGGGTTTTTCATGGTAGACTGTTCATTTAATCATGATAACGTGATATTATACAACGTTAAGGTATAGACTTGGTTTTTCTACAGTATCATGTCGTTTACAAGACATTACTCTTTGATCGTGTCTTTGGAGGTACCATATGTTTAAATTTCAACTTAAATCAGTCAAGAAGAGAATAGTTACTAGATATGTGGTAAAAATTATATGGTTAAATGGCTGTATTCCAAAATTGGAGCAAGTTTGAGTGATTCTTTAGCTTATTAATTCGAATAAACTATATGATGGTTAATAAAATGATAATGCAAGTTATCTCAAATTATGTTCCAATCTAAGGTTTGTTTTCAATAAGGTGTCAAATTTGATCAAGTGAAAATCTACTATCTTGAATCAAACATATAAATTGTTATCTTAAAATTTTACATCAAAAACTTTCAAAAATAATCAAAGCAAATGTTCACAATTTAAAATTCAATAATGTCTCGCTTGATATTATTGTAAAAAAAATATAAATAAATCAATGATTGATGTTATTTAATATATTATAATTTTGTAATTGCATTGGTATAATAAAAATATGTGATTTAATGACAATTCAAATCTAATCAAAAAAAAAAAATTGAATATAAATCATTTATTAAGACTTTGAAGGTTCTACATTTAGAAAGAAAATAAATGAAGATAATACTCAATCTATTATATAAAACAACTTGGTTATAAGATAAAGAGATAAAAATATATTTGATTAGTTATTGAAAAGGAACTTTGAAAACTTGAAAAACGCAAAGTAATTGGAGTCCTAAGTATCTTTAAGAATGGAGTTGTTGGAATTTTGAGAATTTTCAATAATAGTTTCTTTGTGTATTAGGATCACCATCTAAAATTGCATCGTAGGTGCATGATGTTATGCTTACAGTTGTGTTGTCCTCTGGATTACAAATTGTATTATGCACTTTGTTCTAAAATGTTGTGTTGTGCTTGGCCCTGATCAATTTTATTTTGTTGCAGCCTATATTGTATTGGTTTTGTAAAGCTCAAAGCTTGTATGTGGGGCTTACAGCTCATAGATTTTGTTTGATTTGTTTTTATTTTTTTTTTCTTTTAGAGTACTGTAAGGTTTATTACAATTAGAGCAAGTTTGCACAAGTGGTTCTGTATGTTAATTGAAGAGGTGCTATTGCAAACAAAGAATATTTTACCATAGTTCAAAGCACAACTTGGATTTTAGATATTTGCTTGATTTTGGTATGAAGAGATTTGTTGCTAAGAGTATAAATTAGTTAGAGTGGTATAAGATGTTCAAATTAAAAAATCTAGAGAATGTTTTGTTCAAATATCACTTTGTTTCTAAAAGTAAAAAATAAATCATGAAAAAATGCATAATAAAGGCAAAGGACATAGAAAGAAGTTAGGAAACATAATTAAGTGAGAATTTGGTGAATAAGTGGATCATCTTCTTTATGAATATCATAATGAAAGAAAAAGATTTGAAGATTGTCATACTATTGGAAATATGGACTTTCAATGTCCACATTACAAGGAACTCTATTAGATAGATGAATGAACTATGATAGTGACAAAAATAAATCTGTAATTAATAAATGTTGTCTTCATGAAAAGGTTGAGTGTAACAAGGTATAGAAAAGATAATTATATAGATAATTATATAGATAATTAGAACCATAGAAGTTTCTAGAATTGGGATTAGGTTAGTGGACTAGGTAAGATCCATTGTAGAACATTCTAAAAAGGATTTAGAGTGGTTATTTAGATAGGGCCCACCATAGAATCTTCTAGAAAAGACTTAGGGCAGTTATCTAGGTAGAATCTGCCATGGAACCTTCTAGAAAAGAAGTTTAAGGCAGTTATCTAGATAAGATCCACCACCTAAGAACATTCTAGAAAATCCAGGGTAATAGGATAAGGTATAAATAGGATTGGCTAGGGCCTTTTGGAGCATCTGGTTACATATGGCTTTAGACCCTTTTTCTTAGTAAAGTTTGGTTTTACATCCGTTTGTTCATTTCAATTCTATTGTGTTTCTGTTTATTCAATTTGTCTTTTATGTCTTCTTCTATTTAGTTCTATTTTGGTCTATTTTGTCCTATTTTGTGATGAGGTTTTATGTTGCTGTAGAATAGAAAGATCTTAGATTTTTGAGATAGTCTAGTCCTATTTTATTGATAAGAGAGCAAGTGTTAGACTGTTTATTTTTGGTAGCATGTCAATAGTCATCATTTAATCCTAGTTCAGTTGGTGTGGTCACATTATGTACCATATCAAGGCTTCCATGAGATACTCTTAAAAAGTTAATTGGGAGGTGAAAAGATATTACAATAGTGGAGTCAAGAAAAGAAATTACAGTATGAGAGATATGGTAGAGCAATTCCAAGTGGAGGCTCAAATACAACACCTCTTAGGCCAGATAGCTACTTTGCAAAGGCAAATAGAAGCCTCGAGGACAAGAAAGTCAACATCGACTAAGTTGAAATTGAGTAAGCCTAGTACATACTCTAGAACTTTAAGACAAAAAGATCTATGTCAATGGCTCTTCAATATGGGACAATACCTCCAACTATCTGGAAGAAATACTATTGAAGGAATTATATATGGAGCCAATTATTTGAGAGATGAATGGGAGGAGTTTGAGACCGAGTTAAAGAATCAATTTTGGCCCATCAATGCAAAAAAGATTGAACTCGATTAGTTAGCAAATCTTACACAAGCTAGGTTAGTGCAAGGTCATGTCTTCCGATTTAAGTTCCTATGTCTTCAAATTGGCAATGTTTTGAAGGTGGAGATGATAGATCGATTCCTACAAGGTTTGAAACTTGGAGTCCAAAGAGAGGTGGAGCTAAGGGATCCACAAACATTTGAAGAGGCAATTCAGATTGCAGAGATGATCGATGCCATAGATTTTAGAAATCATGGAGCACAATCTATAGCACGAAGTCTTATGCCGCTATCTAATATTACAGTACAACAACCAATGCCAATGGAGATTGATGCCTTACAAGGATCATTGATACCACAAAGACAATAAGAATCAGTGCAAAAAGGATTGTGTTTCTATTGTCAAGAGTCAGCCCATTAAATTAGAGGTTGTTCAAAACACCAAAGTGCAAGTACCAATAAGACAAGGCAGGTTTATAGTCTTGAAATTCACCAAGCTAATAATGAATTAGAGTAAAAAAATAGGGCTCTCTAGTAAAGGCATCGGAGGTCAGTACTAAGGGTAGCTACTGTCTCTCAAAGACAAATGGTATAGCCTTAAATAACTATAAAAAGAGTCAACTGGTATATCTAAGAGGACTACGAAGAGGACAACCATGTTGAGTGCTTGTAAATTGTGGCTCTATAGAAAATTCCATCTCAATTGAAATTATTTATCGGCTTGGAGTTAAAATCAAAGAAATCAAAGGAAGAAGTATATACCTTGGAGATGATTGAGAGATTATATTGAATGAAACGTATGAAGAAGAAACCTTGAGATTGACAAACATCTATGACTTAAAAAAGAGATTGAAGGTGACAAAGCTAAACTATGATATCATCTTTGGTATGCCATGGCTAGAGATGGAAAATAAGAAAGTTTATTGGGTAGCAAGGACAATCTCTTTTAAAGATGGAGGACACAAGGTGACTCTTTGCACCTCCATATTATGTGAAGAAAAATGACAGCCTGCAATTAAAGACTTATTTATAGAGATGACCTTTATGATGAAGCAACTACAGCATGAGTAACCAATATATATGGTGGTTCCAAATCTTGCATTAGTGGTGGCAAAGATAGTCAAATGGATAGAACAAGCAGAGCAATTCATACAAAAATATCAAGATGTCTTTTCAACCAACCTACCTAGTGGCATCCCTCCTGATTGAGGTGCCTCTTTTCAAATAGAACTATTTCTTAGAGCCAAACCAGCAAGTCGACCAATGTATTTCCTAATACCAAAAGAACTTGAAGAGTTGTACAAGACATTAGACGAACTTTTAGAGAAAGGCCACATTTAAGAAAGCACATCACTATGGAGAGCACATGTACTCTTTGCACCTAAAAAACATGGTGGACTTTGTCTTTGCATTGACTATTGAGGTCTCAATAAGTAGACTATTAAAAATGCATATCCACTTCTACTTGTGGATGATCTTTTTGACCAACTTTAAAGTATAGTTATCTTTAGTAAATTAGATCTTTGGAGCAACTATTATTAAATACCTATTACAAAAGAAGATGTAGAAAAGATGGCATTTTGTACATACTATAGACAACTTAAATGGCTGATTTTACCCTTTAGCTTCACCAATGCTTCAACTTCTTTCATGGATCACATGAAAAAATTATTTTGAGACCTTTTGAATAAGTATGTAATCATCTTTATTGATGATATCCTTATATATAGTAAAATCCTTGAAGAATATGAGCAATATCTATGAAAGGTGTTGCATCGGCTATAAGACAATTATTACTATTGCAAATAATCAAAATGTGAGTTTTAGAAGTTGAAAGTCAATAAAACTTCAATAAGACTTCAATAAGACTTTGGTAGGGACCTTCAATTGAGAGATATGAATCATCCAACCTCAGAAGAGAAGAACACAATTACTCTATATGTACTTGAGAGCAATTAGCGATTGTACACGCTACAAAGATGTGATGACACTATCTATTGGAAAATCAGTAGTTGTTTGGACTGACTATTGACCTTTGCTACATAATTTAAATCTTGAAAACATGAAATTGTGGTATTATTGTTGGGAAGAATAATTGCATTTTTTTGATATCCAATTTGAGTACAAGCAAAGATGACAACATATTGTGCCAAACAATTTATCACGGTGTAAGGATGAAGAGAGTTTGCCTCAAGAAAGCATTGGGCTTTTAGCTGCCACTAATTGCTCAATCAAGTCTTGAGATAAGAAACACCAAGT